TTGTGATTTTGGAGGCCAAAAGATGGTGTTGGGTCCCCTGGAAGTGGAGTTACAGATGCTTGTGAGTCACCATGTGGGTGCTGAGAATGGAACCCAGGTCTCTGGAAGAACAGCCAGTGCTCTTAACTGCTAAGCCATCTCTCCAGCTACCAACATATTTAACTTAAAAAAAAAGTATTTAAGTATGCAGTACACAAACATATATGCAGATAAAATACTCATACGTATAAAACTTAAAAAATAAATTATTTTTTAAAATTATTTATGGAGGGAGGTAAGTGTGGAGGTCAAAGGACCACTTGCAAGAGTTGATTTTCTCCTTCTACCGTGTGGGACCTGGGGACTGGACTCAAGTCAGCAAGTTTGGTAGCAAGAACTTTTATATGCAGAACCAGGGTTTCATGTATATAGTCCAGGCTGGCCTTAAACTTTCCATATAGCTGAGGGTGGCCTTGAACTCCTGATTCTTCTGCTTCTGCTTCCCAACGGTTGGAATTCCAAGCATGCACCACCACACCTACTTGGATTTTATTTGTTATTTTAAAGGAGAGTCTCTGTCTCCCACTTCGTCCTTCCAAGTGTTGGCATGGTAGGTGTGTACCACCACACCCTGGCAACATTGTTTAACTTTTGAAGAACTGCCACACTGCTTTTCAAAGCACTGGACAGCCCACACTGGGGTGGGTCTCCCATTCGTGCAGGATCTTTGGCAGGTAGAAGTGTCCACCATCCCCTCTTCAGCCTGAGCTCTGACTGCTCTGTGTGAGCGACTCAGTACTGGGAGGTAAGTGGGCGTCCAGGGGGTCTGAGTAGGCCTTAAGGGAGGGGTGGATCTGGTGTCGCTTGAGACTTGGAGATAATAAGGCTCATTTGAAAAGGAAGCCTTTGGGTTCCACGCTTTAGTCCCCTGTAAGCAGAAGGCATGGGATAAAGTACCAGTTTACATCACTGGGCCCCGGGACACACAGTGAGCTGGGATCAGGGGCTCTGCCAACTGGAGTCTCAGCACCCAGGCAGCTGTCCTCACTTCTGAGTATTTAGGGGCAGATGTAGGACTTCCATGTCCCTCAGGAGCTCCCAGAGTCTCCCGGGACCCCTCACTGTCCAGCACAGGTGCTCAACATTCTCTATGCTCCAGCTCATAGGCCCTGCCTGCTGGATCCCACATCCTGAGTCATAACCCCCCAAAGCCTAAGCCAGCCAGCCAGCCTTTGCACCTGCCTGCTCACTGTCCCCGCTCCCCAACACACATCACACCCACCTTTTAGGAATCAGCCTTGCCTTACTTGAAATCCAAGGACACTTCCTCCCCATCCATCCTGACAAGGCCCCTAGTCCCTTCCAAAATGGTTATGTTGGGACTCTCCTCTTCCTCCCTCAGATGGGACTTCCTGGTCACCAGCTCCCCACTCTCCCGTCCTTCCCTCTTCTGTTCAGTCCCCTGCCCCAACAGCCAAGGCCCACACAAGCCATGCGTAAATCTCCACTCAGACTATACTCTGTTGAAAACGGTCAAGAGCGAGAATAAAGAACAAGGGTGGCATTTTAAAAACTGACGTCATCTGCATGCTTGGGAGCATTGGGGTTAATCTGGAAGGACTGCTCTTGTGTGGAGGGAATTTGTTAATAGAGCTGTTTGCTATTCTCAGGCAGGTGGGGTGCAGGCTGCCAGGGAGGGGAGGGGCAGCCTACACCAGCCAGGATTAGTCTAAAATGACTCTCCCGGGGTGGAGAGGGCCCTTCTCTCTGAACAAATTGTTAGGATGTTGATTTAATGCTGAGAGATTGGCAGTTCTCCCAGCACTATAGGGCAAACGCAGGGCCAGCCCAGCAGCAGTTTGGACTCTATAAAGATAACAGATAACCAAATTGCTGTCTGCTTCCTCTCTGAAGCTCCAGGCTGGCTCTGGCCTGGACAGCTCTCAGGTCAGGGGGGCAGTGGCCAGCAAGTGGGAGGGCTGGGGGACTGGTGAGGGCCCAGGGGCAGGCAGGAGGCAGGGTGCTGAGTCCCTGATGCCCTGTAGACCTTTGTGAGCTTGAAGAAGTCTCCTCCCTCCTTGGGAGTCAGTCCTCACCCCTGCCCCATGGAGACCTTAATAGTCCGATTCTGATGAGAATCCCGTGAATCAGAGGGTTAGCTGTAAGTTGATGACATGCTGTCTCAACATTAATTTACATACTAAAAACATCTTAAAACATATTACTGTTTTTGTACGTGTTTTTCCATAGTCAGTCCCAAGTGCCTTTTGGTTTCTATTATACTGATATTTTAACAGTGTTTTGCTTTGTTTTTGGAGACTTGCTCTGCAGCTTAGGCTGGCCTAGAACTCAGGCAATCCTCCTGCCTCAGCTTGAGTGCTGAGATTAAAAAGCATGATTTTGAGACCAGCCTGGGCAACAGGGCAAAACTCTGTCTCAAAACACCAAAATAAACAAATGAAACCAAAACAAAGCAACATTAATAAAATACTAGCAAGCTTTTCTTGACTGCTTGTTATAGAAATGATATTGATTTGCATCTGGAAAAGGGTATATTTTCTTACTAATTTAATCAGCTATCTATCTTGAGGGTTTTCTGTGTGTGGCCTAACAGTTCTCAAGAAGGCATTCGGGCTGGGTGGCGGTGGCACATGCCTTTAATTCCAGCACTTGGGAGGCAGAGGCAGGCGGATCTCTGTGAATTCGAGGCCAGCCTGGTCTACAGAGCAAGTTCCAGGACAGGCTCCAAAGCTACACAGAGAAACCTTGTCTCGAAAAAACAACAACAACAACAACAACAGAAAGAAGGCATTCTGTCCCCTACAGGAATATTTGGAAGTGTGTAGAGAAGATTTTTGTTATGCCCAAGCTATACTTATTTTAATGTGTTTTTCTTTTGTTTAAATTTTATATGAAATTAAGCAATATATTGATCTTTTGAAAATATGTGTGATTACATCATGTGAGAATTTTATTTCGGGATAGAGAGGGTGGGGTGACATCCTTATAGAAAGAAGAAATCCAGCCTTGCATGGTGGTCCACACCTAGAAAAGCAGCACTTGGAAGTCTGGGGCGGGAGACCAGGAATTCAGGGACCGCTTCAGCCATGCAGCCCGTTGTGGGCAAGCCTAGGCTCCATGAAACCATGTCTTAAATAAATAAATACTTTTAAAAGATGAAATTAATTTGGAATTTTGAATTTGCTGTAAACATCTGAGGCTTGGGAAAGACAAACAAACAAACAAACAAACAAAAAACAAAAAACAAACAAACCTTTAAAAAACTCAGTCACCACTGTCTGAGTAGTGACCCCAAAGGCCAGCAGAGGGCACTGGATCCCAGGAACTGGAATTCCAGATGGTTTTGAGCCACCATGTGGGTTCTGGGAATTGAACCCTAGTCTTCTGCAAGAGCAGAAGACCTCTTAACCAGAGCCATCACTCACATCCCTTCTAAGACTAAAACAAAAAACAAAACAAACAAAAACCCCATCCCTTTCCTTTTGTGTTTATGCCGTCTGGACGATTGGACTCGTACCATCAAGCTTGGCAGTAAGTACTTTTACCAGCTGAGCCATCTTTCCAGCACCAACTTCTGAAGCTTAAAAAATAATTTGGGTCCAGGTGGTGGTAGCATACACCTTAATCACAGCACTTGGGAGGCAGAGGCAAGCCGAACTCTGTGAGTTTGAGGCCAGCCTGGCCTACAGAGCAAGTTCTGGGACAGTCAGGGCTGTCACATAGAGAAACTTTGTATCGAAAAAACAAATATAATAATAATAATAATAATAATAATAATAATAATAATAATAATAATAATGAGCCTGGTTATGGTGAAGCTGGTTTATAATTCCCAGGATCTGGGAGCTAGTGGCACAAAAATCAATATTTCAAGGCCATCCTCAAACTCACCATGAGCTCCAGGCAAAGTCTAGGTTACATAAGACCTTATATCAAGAGAGAACCCCCCCCCCAACACACACGCACACACTTTTTTCTCTTCCTTGTGAGATGACAGAATCTTGATGTAGTAGGTTTAGCCCAGGCTCAGAACTCGGGGTCCTGTGCCTCATTTCCTGGAGTGCTGGGTGTTTGGGAATCTATTCCTACACTCTGCTAGTCACTAGAGGATTTTTGGATCTATCATCGTTGAATCAAGAACATCTTTCTTTTCCCAATTCCTGGGGTCCTTGAGAAGTCAGAGTACGGTGGGCTTTTCAAAGGCGTCGGGACACCCGAGGGAAGCCTCTCACCGAGGCGGTTGGGTGCAGAATAAGAGCAGGTGATAGGAGGTCTGGTCCAGCTCCCTAGTAGCTGATATAACAATGCCCTGAGCTCCTTGCCTCTCTGGACGCCAGTTAGGAGAGAGATGCACTGTGTGGCAGGAGAGATGCACTGTGTGGCAGGCGCGCCCCCTGGCGGCGCACGGGCCTGGAGGAGGCACCCGGCATGCCTGATCCTCCAGGTGACTTGAGTGGTACCAGGACTCCCTGGACCCAGTGGCCTTTCCTGTTCTTGGACACCAGAGCAACCCAGCTTCAGAGATGAGTGGCCAGGCCCCATAGTCACACAGCGGATCCAAATCTACGGCTTTCCCACCTTTCTAAGCTACGAAAGGCCAGAATCTTTTTAAAAAATAATTAAAATTAAAAAAAAATTATTCCATGTGCATTGGTATTTTGCCTGCATGTATGTCTGTGTGAGAGTGTCAGATCTTGGGGTTACAGACAGTTGTTAGCTCCCACATGGGTGCTGGGAATTGAACCTGGGTCCTCTGGAAGAGCAGTCAGTGCTCTTAACTGCTGAGCCATTTCTCCAAGCCCAAAATGCCAGAATCTTAATATCCTTACCACCGCCATCCCCCCCACAAATGGAGACAACCTTTTTCCAGGGAACTGAGAACAAGGCTCCAAAGCAGGGAATTTCGGATTAATGATGCCCAATTGTCCACTGCGAGAGCTGGCATCAGGACCGTTTGTTGAGAAGAAAGCACGTTTGTCACGCGTACAACCTTCGTTTATTATTATTCTCACACACACTGACTGGCATTATGGTAGACAGTACCAATGGTCCTCCAAAGATGTCCACACCCTAATATCTGAAACCTGTGACTAAATTAGGGTACAGTGAATGACAAGATGAACTATGATATTGTGAGTAAGCTGGCTTTACAACCTGAAGGTATTACCGTGGTGTGGAGACAAACCTGTAATCCACCCTTTGGGAGGCGAAGGCAAGAAGCTCTGGAATTCAAGATCACGCTTCACTGCATAGCAAGTTTCAGGGCAGCCGGGGCTACATGAGACCTTGTTCTAACAAACCAACAGATGACAAGCTAAGCCAGGAGAACCCGGGGTTTAGCTCCAGGGAAGGAGAACAGTGGATGGAGGCAAAAGACGAGTCAGGGAGAAATTTGGCTGTAGAGAAATGCAGCATCGCTGGTTTGGAAGACGGGGAATAAACTGGGTGTGTGTTCTCCCCTAGGCTACCCAGGAAGGAAGACAGTTTTACCAACACATGACTTTAGCCTAAGGAGACCGTGTTGTCAGAGAACTACAGGGTAAGTGGGCTTGTCCCTAGGCTTCGAAAGTTGCTGAGAATTCGCTAATTTGTTACAGCAGCAACAGGAAACTAATACAATGTTCTCACAGATACACTCTACACCACTGGGGCAGATGGCCACCGTCCACTCAGCCATGCATTTCCTAAAGCACTGGGGAAACAAGGCCTTAGCTACCAGGAGTTCAGTCAGGGCTGCAGAAAGGTGGCTGCCATGGTGCCTCCCGCGGCTGCCCTAAATGAGCTTCACTTGCACTTTGACCTCAGGAGAGTCCTGGAGCTTGGTGGAAGCAAGACTGCCAGACGCCCCTTAGTTCTGAGTGTAAACTGGCTTCTGGGAGCTCCACTCCTTGGTAGAGGAAACGGTGGAAATGGCGATTCATAATTGCGCTGCACTTAACAGCTGACATTGACCTTGGTAGCCATGCTTCTCTTGCTGCCCACGATGAATGGAGGATGGAAGACAGGTGCCCCGGAAGGCTGATGTGTGAGGATAAACAGATATTCCCAGACCAGAGGTCAGCTTCAAATAAGAAAAACACACCTATACGTCTGAAGACACCCCTGACCAAGAACCCCTGAAGTTGAAGCCCAGAACATGTACAGGTATATAATGCTTTCCAGATCTGCCCTCAAGGTGACATGAGTGTGCATCGGGGTTCAGATCAGAAGATGCACTCTCAGCTCCCAAGCATTCTGGCCTTGGGAGACCTTTCATCGTGTCTGAGGCTACAGTGCAGCTCCGGGTTGTGCAGCGCCTTCCACATGAGCAGCATCTCGTAGGGCGCGAAGCGGTGCACCAGCAACAGGTTGCGGTACACGCAGGGGTCGAAGGATGAGCGCTGCGCACCGGGCATCCGTACGCCGAAGGGCCGGATGCCCTCATGGCCGCTGGGCGCCAGGCCGGCCTGCTGCAGACACATGCCCATGTAGGCGTCGTCGATGGGGAAAGGCGGGACATAGCGCGCCGCGCTGCGCAGGTCGCGGGCTGTGCGGCTGGACAGAAGGAAGCCGCCGCCGCTGCAGTACACTGGGTAGGCCTTGCCCGGGAAGAGCTGCGGGGGCACGAAATATTTGCTCCAGCTGTCGCGGATGGGCACAGAACCGTCCATGAGCTGCCCGGCAAAGAGGTGGCGCTCCGGCGACTGTGTCTCGAGGAAGTGCAGCACGTTGGCTGTGTGCACGAAGACGTCGTCGTCGCAGCTGAGCAGGAAGCTGGCGCCGGGGCAGCGCTCCGCTGTCCAATCCAGCAGGTGCAGGTGCTTAAGCGAGAGGTTGAGGAAGGTGTCCTTGAAGTCCCACTGCAGCACGTCACCGTGCTCCTGCGCCTCCAGGTCCAGCAGACTCGCCAACTGAGGCTCCCGCTCCGCCTCTTCGGGCGGGGAGGTCCCCAGCAGGAAGAGGCGACGCACCTGCCGCCCGCGGTAGCTGCGCTCCTGGCCCCACGTGCGCCGGATCAGTTCGCGCCGCTCGTAGTGCGCGGGCGACGACTTCACGGCCAGCAGCAGGAAGACGCCGCGGCTGCCCTCGCACTTGTGGGGCGCGTCCCAGAGCTGGGGGAAGCGGCGGCAGTGGCGGTAGCGTAGGAAGTCTTGGATCCGATCCGGCAGCTGCTGGAAGCCGGCGGTGAGGTTCACAGAGGCGTTGGCCACGCACCGAGGCACCGGGAGGTGTGGTAAATGCTGCACTGCAGCTGCGGAGGACCAGGGGGCAGCGGTGGGAACCTCAGCTTTCTCCTGCGTGGACTCCTGAAGGAGCCACTGGTGCAGCACCACGAAAGTCACACCCACTAGCAGGAAAGCCAGTGTCTTGGAATTCTTGGACCTGGGATTCTTGGACCTGCAGCAGGGCAAAGCCATCTGGGGTGGGGGGAGCAAGTCACAGATGAGCCAGGAATTTTTGATACCAGTGGGATGCCTCTCTACCCCCTTCAGGTCTCTCCCAGAATCCGGCTCAGTCCCTTCTCAACTCTGCTAAGAGGTTAAATAAAGCTGAGACCTGCATGGTGCATGCCTTTAGTCTACCAGCACACAAGAGTTGGAAGAGCAGAGGATCCAGAGTTCAGGGTCATCCTCAGCTACATAATGAGTTCAAGGCCAAACTGGGTTACATGAGACCTTGTTTAAAACAAAAACAAAAACAAACAAACACAACCAACTAACCAACCAACCAAACAAACAAAAAAACCAAAACGAAGGACCTGGTGCAGTTGGAGTAGTGTTGTCTAGTGTGAAGGAGGCCCTGGTTTGGGTACCCAGCATTATATAATCTAGGTACTGGCTCAAACCTGTTCTCCTGGCATTCAGAGAGGCTGAGACAGGAGAATCACTGAACCAAAACAGAACAAGGAGTTCCTGAAGACAGTGAGTGTTGTAGGTCCCCCACAGTTCACCTTCACAGCTTTATGTTTATCATGCTGATGCATACCCTCCTAGATGTCACCCAGGATGGCAGACACGTGTTCGAAGTCAGTCTCCATCATGCTGTGCATTGCCATCCAGCCCTTCCTCTGTTAGTGGTACCACCTTTCACCCATGTGCTCAACCAGAAGCCCCACATCTCTTCCCTGCCTTCCTCAGGGTGTGTCCGTCCCCACACTCTGCTCATTCTGCATCCTACATTTCTCTTATCCTCTCCTCGCTCCAGTTGGATCCAGCGCTGGCTGGGAGAACAAAATAATGGAGCAGATACTGCTTTGCTTGGGTTTAGATTGCGCTTCTGGTAAATGAACTCAGTGTAGCTGATCAAGGGGGCATGAGGCCAGGGCATGAACTAAACTACATTTGTTGGTCACTGCTTGGAACAGCAGCACAATGAAGCCAGTCAGATCTCTGGCCCCGATGTTCTTCTCTTCTGTAACAAAGGATTATATTACGGTTCTCCAGGAGTGTGGTGACAACTGCGTATCTCATGGCCACTGGATGATATCAGATTATGACTTTGGCATCTTCCATTTGGTTCTGTGTCTACCTGTTGTTATTTGTTGTTCAAGATCAGGCCCTTTCTTGATTGTAGCCTACTCATGTGCCCTCAAGCCCTGCCAGAAAATTCCACATCTTTAACTATTCCCCTACTTAATTGTGCATGTTGGCACTGGCACACAGCACTGTCACTCTTGTGTTTGTGTGTGTGTGTGTGTGTGTGTGTGTGTGTGTGTGTGTGTGTGTGTGTATTTTGTATACAAGGATCTTATATAGCCCATGCTAGCCTCAAACTCCTTACGCAGTCAAGGATGATAACCTTTAACTTCTGATTATCTTTTGTCCTGGTTAGTTTTATGTCAACTTGACACAAGCTAGAGTCATCTGAGAAGAGGGAACCTCAATTGAGAAAATGCCTCCATAAAATCTGGCTGTAATGCATTTTCTTAGTTAGTGATCAATGCGGGAGGGCCCAGACCATTGTGTCTGGTGCCGTCCCTGGGCAGGTGGTCTTGAGTTCTATAAGAAAGCAGGCTGAGCAAGCCATGAGGAGCAAGCCAGTATAAGTGGCACCTGTCCATGGCCTCTTCATCAGCTCCTACCTCCGGGATCTCACCCAAGTTGCTTTGGTTATGGTGTTTCATCACAGCAATAATAACACCAAATAAGATATTTTCCTTCACCTTCTAGTGCTAGGATTACAGGAATGGCCGGATGCCACTCCCTGTTTAAGGGAACTAGAGTAAACTTTGAACAATGAGGGTATCCATGCCATCCTGTTCTCTCACTAGCCACCTGGCCTGGGCACCTGCTGTGCCTCTTCCTGCCCTGACATTCTGTCTTGTGCCATTTACTACCTGCACTGATCTCTCCTACCTTAATTACTCATCTGTGGCACACTTGAAGTAGTAAAGCCTTGAGAAAGCTTCAGTGGGGGTCAAAGGAGAGCAGGCAAACTGTCAATCATTCCCCTTTACCTCCCCTTCGAGCCCATCAGCATCTCTGGAGCATGGATGGAGTCTATGTTCTTTGCTGAGGGGACAGTGTAGTGTGGTAAATGCTGCTTACCAGGGTTCAAGTCCTGCTTCCTGCTTCTGCTACTTTCCAGTCACATGGCTAAGCAAGCAGACGTAGGCTTGTCTCATACCTAGCCGCCAAAGGTTTTTTATTTTTATTTATTTATTTATTTATTTATTTATTTATTTATTTATTTATTTATTTATTATTTGAGACATGGTCTCATTCTGTAGTATAGGTTTCAAACTCGGGATCTTCTTGTCTTGGCATTCTAAGTTTTGAAATTATGGGTATGCTATCACACCGGCTCCTCTACAGAGTTTTGTTTTGTTTTGTTCTTCCTTTTCTTTTTTGGTGTGTCTGATATTGGGGAATCAAACCAAAGACTTTGTGCACACTGAGCAAGTGCAGTGCCACTAAGTATGTATGTAAATACCTGGCCCTCTTAGGACTTTTAGTGACAAGTAAATTGCCATGTGTATAAAGAATTCAGCACACAAGCCAGGGAAGAGAGTTCATACCTATAATCCCAGACTCAAAGCCTGAGCAGGGTGATCATGAGTTCAGAAGCAGCCTAGGCTATATAGAGAGACTCAAAGAGGGCCAGTGAAATGGCTTAGTGGATTAAGGTGCTTGCTGCTAAGTCCAATGACCTGAGTTAGCTCCCTGGTATCCACATCATAGAAAGAGAGAATTGATTCCCAGAGATTGTCCTCTGACCTCTATATCCATGGGTGCATATCACAAATAACCTTAAACAATAATGACAAAAATAAATGATTTTTAAAAGCCGAAGGGAAAACAATAACTTAGTATAGTACTTAGCACATGGCAAATATTCAATAAACGTTAGTATGATTGTCAAGTGCAAAAGAATGCTTTAGAACGTGTGCTCATCATATATTATCAGACAGTAGCTTGCAATGATAGGTGTTTGTTGTGGAATAATCTTTTTGTATGCTGTGAAGATGTGTCACTTGGACTGGTTTAATAAAAAACTGAACGGCCAATAGCTAGGCAGAATTTTCAGGGTACAGAGGATAATAGGAAGAAGGAGGGTGGAGTCACCAGCCAGATGCAGAGGAAGCAGGACATGTAGGGGATGAGGCAATAAGCCATGTGGCAGCACAGCAATTAATAGAAATGGGTTCATTTAAGTTATAATAACTAGTTAGAAACAAGCCTAAGCTATATGCTGAGCTTTCATAATTGACAATAAGTCTCTGTGTTGTGATTTGAGAGCTGGCTAGCAGGACAGAGAAAGTCTCCCTACAAATGGTTTCCAATGTGGGTGCATGTATTTCCACATAAGACCTGAGAAAGTTAAAAAAAAATAAAAGGTTCCAAAACATACAAAAATGGAGCCAAGTGTGACTTCCTAGTTCCACAGGCTCCCATGGGGGCTGAGGTACAGAGCTGTATCTCCTGGCCACTGCCTGCAAGCTTAAGCCACCATCATGCCATGAGCTAAGCAGTTTAAGGTTTCGTTCATGCCAGCAGAAAAGGTTACAGATACACAATAAAGCAGGTTCAGACAGAAAAAAAATCTCTAAACAGGTAACAGTGTGTTAAAAAAATATGTGTAGGCTTAAGAAAGAAAATAAAATGGACATAGACAGTCATAGAAAAAAAAAGTAAATCATTTATAAATAATAAAAAAAGAATAAGCCACACAGAGATGGGAAATACACAGGGAGTCTGGATCCTGTATAGCTTTGTACTTTAAATTTTTTATTGCTGATGAGCAAACAATAGTTGTTGAGAGACATTGGATTAGAAAAATTATTAAATTAAACCAACCTATATATTTTTAAGATTTCTTAGCTTCAAAATGGAAAAATATGTTAAAAATATGTTACATTGGGGAAGAAGTTATGGTTTTGTTTCCACAGCAAATGAAAGACCGTGGATTCATTCAAGGTTGATAGAGGTCAGATTTGACTGAGGGAGACCGCTTGAGTGTCTTGGATAGGTATGGGGGAGGAACCAAGAAAATTACAGGACAGGTGATGTGTAAGCTGATTCCTCTGCATGGGAACATCTCAGAGATGAGATGAGATGTGATTAATTTTGTTGGTTACAGAGTCCTCATGACTTATTGCTACATGCCATCCTTTCAAATGGCATGGATAGAGATTTATATTACAGTTTGGTTATGCAGTCCAAATGGACTTATAAAGTTGGCAGATGCCTTTTACCTGCTCAACTATAAAACAACAACAAAAAATCTTTGACTGACTTGTGCACACTGCACATTCCATACTTGTGTTAACACAGATATATAAGTTACCTTTAAAAGTTTGTGTGTTTCAGAACAAGGGGACCAGATACCAATAAAAATGGGTGGCCCAGGTGATCCAGCCTCTCAGATTGCCTCTGTTGCAGTTTCCTCAGAGTTCTGCAACAGCTTCAAGACTGCTGGGTGAGATGGGAGACCTCACAGACTATTCTAGCCAAGACTTGACTATTATCCTAATTTTCTCAGGGTCCCCAAAATATGCCGGTGCCCCCAGACAACAAGAAGCAGTCCAGAAAACACAACACCCACATTCCCAGAAGGTCAAGTGGATGGTTTTTGGTCATTTGGTGGGCTATGGATATTTGTCATTGTTTAGGGGGGTTAGTTACAAATTGTTATTGGTCATGGTAAAAAAAACTGAACAAAGGAGATTAGATTCAGGGATCTCTTTCTGAAGATAAAAAGGGGGGATATAGTATAAAAATGATGAGATAAAAGGTTGGGTTGTTTGGCTGGGAAGATGGCTCAGTGGTTAAGAGCACTGACTTCTGTTCCAGAGGACCCAGGTTCATTTCCAGTGCCCACATGACAGCTCACAACTATCTGTAACTCCAAGGTCTGACACCCATACACAGACATACATACAGGCAAAAGCAACAATACACATAAAATAAAAATAAAAAAAGGGTGGATTGTTGCTGTGGGATGTTCTGTATGGCAAATGTGTTGCTGATTAGTCAATAAATAAAACACTGATTGGCCATTGGCTAGGCAGGAAGTGTAGGCGGGACAAGGAGGAGAATAAAGCTGGGAAGTGGAAGGCTGAGTCAGAGAGACACTGCCAGCTGCCACGATGAGAAACAGCATGTGAAGATGCTGGTAAGCCACGAGCCATGTGGCAAGGTATAGATTAATGGAAATGGATTAATTTAAGCTGTAAGAACAGTTAGCCAGAAGCTTGCCACGGCCATACAATTTGTAACCAATATAAGTCTCTGTGTTTACTTGGTCGGGTCTGAGTGGCTGTGGGACTGGCAGGTGAGAGAGATTTGTCTTGACCATGGGCCAAGCAGGAAAACTCTAGCTACAGATTGTTGAGTCTACTTTTGAACAACCACTAGTCTCAAATATTTTACATTGGTATGGATTTTTGTATATTGATACAAATTTAAGGTTATTTTTGTTAGAACATGCTGTACATACGTTTCTACTCTTGTTTAAGGTATTTTACCTATGTAACTCATTTAACAACATAGTATAAATTTCTAGTTCTTGAAAGTTATTATTACAAAGTGTTTAGGATAATAAAGAAATTCAGGCTAGTAGTTAGTCATATATAACAGTCAAACCTGTAGTCAAGTTAGGTGTGTTTTCAAGGTCAAATAGATATATTTTAGATAGATAGATGGCCTTCACACACTTCAAAGAAAAATAGAATATGGCATTTAAAATGTTTTGCTAACAGGGTTTTTCATGAGACATGTCTGCTCCTGGGAGCATCAATTTACTTCAGAGAAGATGGTGGGTATCAAAGAAACTCCATATGGAGTTTGCTTTCAATGTGGCAAAACTATCTATTTGGGAAAGAAACTGCTCTTGTCTTGACTGCTGACAGTATGTTATACAAACTGGACAAGCCAGACACAAAGGAAAAAGACTGTTGAACTTTGCCAAGATAAGGTGGGTGAGTCTTTCAAAATTCCTGCCTCATAGAAAAGTCTGCTCAACATTCTGCAGGACACACAGGAAAGTGACTGCTGAACTTCGCCAAAACAAGGCAGGACAGTCCTTCAAACTTCCTGCTTCATAGAAAAGTCTATCAGATATTCTAGGCCTGTAGGCTGAAGATGGATGCTCCAATATCACAGAGGAACCCTGTGGTGACTGTCCAGGAAGCCACATGTCTCTGTCATTTCATAGTTTTGGAAGTTGCTTGCTCTGTACTTCCTGTTTATTCAGGTAATTTTATATCCTCCTCTGGTCTCTGATGGGCTTGAAGACTAGATAGGTATAGTAACAGTTTCTCTTAGTCATCATGGAAAGTAAACTAGGTACAAAACTTTGGAATCATCAAGAAAGGATAGATAATGGAGTATTTTCTCTAAATTTGCCAAATACAAATGGACTGGACATTGTGGATGTAATTCTTACTTGACAATTGTTCTTATTGTAAATAGTTTCATTTTTTGAGTTAATACCTTTGCTTTCTATTTAGACAATACCTGATAATAATAATAATAATAATAATAATAATAATAATTGGTTTTTTGAGACAGAATTTCTCTGTGTAACAGTCCTAGCTGTCCTGGAGCTCACTTTGTAGACCAGGCTGGCCTTTAACTCAGAGAGATCCACCTGACTCTGCTTCCTGAGTGCTGGGATTAAAGGCATGCACCACCACACCTGGCTGTGATAATTATTCTTATTGTATATGCTTTTACTATGTTAGAGTTAAAACCTTTCTTTTTTATTTAGACAAAAGGGGAAAATGTTGTAGAATAATTTTTTTTTTACACTGTGAAGATTTGTCACTCATATTGGTTTAATAAAAAGCTGAATGGCCAACAGTTAGGAAGGATTTTCAGGGCACAGAGGTTGTTGAGAAGAAGGGTGGAGTCACCAGCCAGATGCAGAGGAAGCATGACATGTCAGAGATGGGGTAACAGCCACGAGCCACATGGCAGCACATAAATCAGTAAAAATGGGTTAAGTCATAAGAGCTAATTAGAAACAAGCCTAAGCTATATGCCGAGCTTTCATAATTGATAAGTCTCCATGTTGTGATTTGGGAGCTGGCTGGTGGGACAGAGAAAGACTCACTACCGGAGTTACTGGAATGGATTGTGCTCTAGTACTTGTTTATTACAGGCCATCCAGTGTTTAGCTCAGAGTGAGCAGAGAGCAGGTGCTCAGAGCAGAGTGGCAGCAGTTAGTTATGTGACAAGTGTGCACACACAAGTGGTGCTGCTGAGCACGGTTAGAAAGGCCATCTGCAGATTTCCACTATTTTGCTCACAGTCCTGCCTCAGTGCTGGTGCATTAGAGGAGGGTTGGTGACATGCTGTACCCATGTTACTGTCACAGCTACTCCTGCATACTCCTACGTCTGGAAAATTTGAGTCAGCGATTTTACTTGACTTGCTTTTCTCTTTCTCTCTTTCTGTCCTCCCCTTCCTTCCTTCTTTCTCCCCACTCCCCTCTTCTTCTGACAAGGTCTTATGTACTCAAGGCCGGCTTTCAAACCCATTATGTATCCAAAGATAATCTTGAACTTCTGATCCCCCTGCCTCCTACCTCCCAAGTGCTGGAATTACAGTCATGTGCCACAATGCCCAGAGTGTGTGGCATTGGGAATGAAACCCACTGCTTCATACATGCTGGGCAAGCACTCTACCAACTGAGCTACATTGGCAGCCTACAAAGACTTTTTTTATGAATAAAAAAATAAACTATGAATGAACATAGGATTTGGAGTCTAAATAACTGGGTTTGAGTCTCAGCTCTTTCTATGGGTTAGTTAGCCTCCAAGGTTTGAATTTCCTCCTTGAAAAACATTAATCATATCCATCTCTCAGTGAAATAAAATGATCATACAAATGCCAAACTATTATATTTTTGTATTTACTTTTATTTTTTGAGACCTGGCTGGACTGAAACTCACTATGAAGACAAAGCTAGCCTTAAACTCACAAAGATCTGGGATTTAAGGCAGCACCAGTAAGCCTAGGTTATTTTAGTATTTTTGAGACAAGGTTTCATATGGCTTAGGCTAGCTTTGAACTTCGGATCTCCCTGCCTTCGTCCCCTAGTGCTGGGGTTGCAGGTACCTGCTACCGTTCTCATCTTAAAACACAACTTAAAAGCATTTCTCTAAAGCAGGTGTATTGGGTCGTCGGGCCTGTAATCCACATTCGGGAGGCGGAGACAGCCTGGACTACACACAGCAAGACTGGTTTTTGGGTTTGTTTGTTTTTTCATGTTTTTCGCCTCTTTGTGTTGAGTCTTTTCTAGAAAGAGAAAATCTTCTCAGACTTAACACGTCAGTAAATCCGGTTTCAAAGAAGAGCGCATTTCCTCTGGTAAGTCCGAAGACCCTGGAGCGTAGCCAGCTTTCAGTGTAATGAGGAAAAATGGTGTACAGGGAAGGACAGGCCCTTTCTGAGGGCGGAGCTGGCTCTCTGTGCTAGGATGCACAGCCTCTGACTTGCTCTGACTGACACGAAGCGTCATCTCTTCAGTCCTTGGCTGGACCTCCTTTTCTCAAACTGCTCCTCTGGGTGCCAGGAGCCCCTACTCCTAAAGCTCTGCTGGTCTCCACCGGCCCTGCTCCCTTGTCTAAGCTTGGACTCAGCTTCAGTACCAGTTCCTCGAGGTCACTTCCTGGTAAGTCCAGGTCTACAGATCTGACTCCTTCTTGGTACTGTGACTACTGAGCTTGCATGAAAGAGGACAGTCTGTCTCTCGAACCTTATCTGTGGGATTGGGCAGGTTGTCTCAGTATCCCATGCTGTGAGTTGATATGACTAAGTACTTAGACGCATATCTGCCACAGGCTAATAGGTGCACCCTCCAGGGGCCAGGCTAGCCATCCTCTGAAGGAGGGACTCCATCCTTCCCCTGGTGCTTTGTGGTCCTCTGGCTGCAGCTAGCTCACTGCTTGTTGCTCGACACTTGGAATATAGTCCTCTCTGCTAGGAATTCACCCTTTTCCTTCCAAAGAACTACTCTGACTACTTCCTGCCCAGATGTCAGGGTCACCATCCAGCTCCCCTGCAGCACCCCAGAGTGTTCCTGGGGGAGGTATTTGAACAGAAGACGTGACAAGCAAAGTAACTTGCGCTATCTCTTGGTGTCTGGCCTCTCCCAAGCACCCATGGGGATGCATGGATTGCACAGTTTTCTGCTAAGAAGAGAGTGGGGTGAGAGGAGGGTACAATTAATTCCCAAAAAGAATAACTTTGGTGTTTGGCAAGATGGTTCTGCCGCCAAGCCTGACAACAAAAGTTCCATCCCCAGGACATAAGGGTAGGAGAGAACTAACACCTGCAAGTTGTCCTCTGGCCTCTCCCTCTCTCTCTCTCCTTCTCACTCTCCCCTGCCCCCCTACACATGCAAATAAATAGTAAATAAATAAATAAATTCCTTCTCAATAAGAAGACCCCACCTTACCCCATCTTACCTTGTGTGTTTGAGAGATGAGAATCAGTCCTGTGCCATCCCAGACTGGGACAACCTTTGCTACACACGGACTTTCACCCCCGTGACAGTGGCTTAGTTTAGTGTTCTTGCATCCAACCAATCCAGGCCATCACTCCTCCTCCTCAGGGGTAGGGTGAAGGTAGCCACAAGTTTCTTTAGTCCATGCAATTACCTGCTCTTTCAGATCAAGCTCAGATGCTGCCCTCCTCTGGGAGACTCTTCTTTGACCCCTCTACCCACCTTTTGCTGTATGTTTTTTGAGGGATTTACAGATAGGATGAACAACCATCTTAACGCTGGCCGCCACAGTCAAGGGGTCCCTCCTGATTGGAACCACTCCAGGTACAGGACCTGCTGTTAACAGAATACTCTTGGAAGTCTTTGTTAGATAAGCTGCTGGGGGCTTGGGAGGTGGCTCAGTAGGTAAAGTACTTGCCATGTAAGCATGAGGTCCTGAGTTCTGATCCCTAGAACCCTTGTGGGAAGCCAGCCATGATGGTGCATACCGGTAATCCCAGCTCTGGGGAGACAGAGACTAGAGTAATTGGGGCCTTGCTGGCCAGCTCCAGATTAACATCCCTGTCTAAAAATTAAGGGGAAAAATGATGGAGGAGGACAACTGATGTCCTCTGGTCTGTACATGCCCTTGCACATGTACAGATGCATATACACACACACACATAAACTGTCCATATATATACTTTTTAAACACACAAGTGACATTAGAGTACGATTTTGAGAGTAGGGGAGCTGGAACCTAGGCCTGTGCATACCAAAAGTGTGGTCTACCACCAAGCTACCCCCTTCCCCCTCACCCCCTAGTTTTAACTTAATTCCTTAAAAAGTTTCACCAAGCCCCGAGTACTCTGAATTTGGCAAGTGGTCAAGGGCCTATCTCACTGCTTCTGAGAGTGCTCAGGACAGAGATGAATTAGACATAATCCTGGCCCTCAAGGAACCCAGCATGCCTTGGGAGGCAGGAACCATCTGGAAAAAGAAAATGAAATTATAATACTTGAGTCGAATGGATGAGGAAACTTGGGGAAGGGCCCTGGAGTGAGCCCAGGAGACTTCACATTCAAGCTGCTGTCTGTCAAGCGGAGTTCTTAACGCAGACAGTATGAAGAGCCTCATGCGGACAGCCAGTCAGTATTTCTCAATATTCTGCGCTTTGACTCAGGTTTCTTATGTTGGCCCCACCAGCCTCTTCTTGTGGCCATCTGTATTCAGTGAGTGGTGAGCCAAGGGCTGGTTCAGCTGGGACTGCAGGATTTCATGACACAGTGGTCTCAAGGCTCTGGAACTTGCATAAAGACATTCCAAATAGCTTATTGATGAGAATGTTATAAGAACACCCCAGTGAGTGGGGTCGAGAGTTCCAGAAATTCATGGTGATATTTAATCAATCACACTGAGGTCTGAGGATGGTAGGAGGTTCCCACAACAGACAAGGAGAGGTGTAGAAGAGGAGGCACTGGGCAGGGGAGCATGCCTGTGAGGCACTCGAGCTATACCATGGATGGAGGAGAATCAGGCCTGGAGACACAGAGAAAGTTGAGGGGGCTGGGGAGAAGTCCTTGAATGTTGTCACGGGGCTTTTGCCCGATTTGTCGAAAAATTTCACAAGTCCTTATCAATACTCATGAGTCTGCTCTTAGCCTACACTGAAAAAAAAAGTTAACAAGGGGAGAGAGTCCAAGGCCTGGGGGAGCGGGGTATGCCTGGTGCTGAGGTCTGAGCAGGCAGGGCTCTCAGAGTAGAGGGGTGGGCGTCTTCATGGCTTGGTGACTTACCTGAGGGTCTACATGAGATGAGTAAGAGGGGGAGCAGGGGAGTGGAGGAGGCTGTGTATGGGGGGGGGGCAGGGAGCAGAGCAAGGTTTTCTAACAGGCTGTGTCTAGAAGGACGGGGAAGTCTAAAGACTTCCTGGAAACTTCATGGAAATTCTGAATGGGCTGGAGCACCAGTTAGATCTGGGCAAGAATAGTCCCAGGAAGGGATTCAACCCCATTCCTCTCCAGAACTAGGGCCCACCATTGTTGAGGCCATCCCTGGGTACCTGACTGTATTTGGACCCATTTTCTTTAAGTCCCCTGGAAACTCTTCTTAACAGAAATGTCTTCTGTGAAATTTGACAGTAAGTTGAAGTGGAGAGAAGGATTCCTGGGGGTAAGGTTAGAATTTATTTATTAGAATAAAATGACAAACAGGACCTCTGTAGGAAGTTTCTGGAGTGGCCAGAACAGATGTAGGCAAGGGTGTGGGGAAAGTGGCTTTGGAAACATATGCTCCGTTCACAGGGAGATGAAAGCAAGCCCGACCCAGTTCTTTCTTAACCTTCTCCCTTACAGCAGGTGGTGTAAAAAGCCTTGGTCCACTATCTGTCCCGCCACAACTTAGTGTGAAAGAGAAGCTTGTAATAAGAGCCTTACTTCTTACTACTTCCAATACAAACAGGTGTTGAGGGCACAGGCCAGCCCCTGATGTTTGTTCTAGGCTTCACGGATCAGTGAGAGGGATCTGGGACAGTGGCTGATTCCTTGTGTCTGCCCAAAAGTTATAAGGTACTCAACAGTCCTGGACCAGGTAATCTTACCACAGCGATACAAGGAAGCCATTATTGGATTTATGCTACAGAATACCAAATCTACATTTCACAGATATAGAATCTAAATATTAGTTAAGTAATTTGGCCACAATTACACAGCTCTTTGGTGGAGGACCAGGATCCTAGCCCAGGTTTTCACATGCACAGCAAGGAAATGATGTCTCTAACAGAGGAGGACCTGACAGGATTAATGTCTGTCGGCTCCAACTGTGTGCTGAGCCCTCCTTCATGTCAACCAGGTAGCTGGCTCTGCTGACACCCATACCTTGCTCAGCCACTGGGCCTCTCCAGGCTTTCCTCTGAGTGGCTGGTATCTCTTTAAATTGAGGGTCTGTTACCTTTGACAGACTTATGCAGATCCGTGTCTGCGAGACCTGGGATCTGGGGACCTGAAAGAATGAGGCTGGCTACAGTCTAAAGCTGCAGACAACCCCATTCCAGTGTTTCTGTTTTGTTTTTATACAGGAATGTAACAAAGAAAGCAATGATCCAAGGAAAGTTGTTTGAGTTCAGAAATATATGATTAGAAAAATGTGTAAATGAAATACCAGCAAATACATATTAAATATTAACAGAGCAGCCCTTCCCCAGAACTTTCTCAGGACAGACCAGTTTAAACGCAATTGCCCGTCACGTGCTATAGATTGTACCTGGGAAAGCATGAGAGCAGGCAGAGGGCCATGTCCAGATTCAGAGTGCAGTGAGGACGGCACTCAGCAGAGCCTTTCACTTTTCAGGTTGGCTTCTATAGCTATTCTCCGATATCCAACAAGAATAAACACGTCTTTTAAATTGAATGCAAATATTTGTCTCAGGAGGCACAAAATCGTGTCCAAGAACAATCCAGGGAACAATACGCACTTGAGGTGAAAGGCCCTCTGCCTTTTTTCCTGGAGCCTCTCTCACAACAGTTCCTCAAGGCATCGCTCACCATGGGTCATCCTTGGACCCTGTTCCAACGGGGGGTCTCTTTCCTTCACCATTCCTCCACCCCAACCTGGAGTGACTCAGTTTCTAGGACTCAGCCTGCAATCCCTTCTGTGAGCTCCCTTGTTTCTGTTACTGTCTTTGTTCCTCGGGTTTATGACCTTAGCCCAAATTTCAGCTGAACTTCAGATCTGCTTATGATTATTATACTTCCCACCATCACGTTCAGACTTTAAACACACGGAAGTAAGTTTGCTGGGTGTGGTAACCCATGCCTGTGATCTTTGCACTTAGGAGTGAAGCAAGATAATCCAGAATTTAAGGACACCCACTTTGGGCTATTTGGTAAGTAAAACACAAACAAACAAACAAAACCAAAAAACAAAAAAACCCCTCTGCCTCGGAGTTTTATTGCTGTGATAAAGCATCATGACCAAAAGCAACTTGGGGAGGGAAGGGTTTGTCTCAGCTTACAATTTGCGGGTCGCACCCTATTGGTGAGGGGAGGCAGGAGCTGAAGCAGAAGGCACAGAGAAGAACTGCTCACTGGCTTGCTTGCTTATATAACTCAGGGTCACCTGCCCAGGGTGACACGACCCACAGTGTGCTGGGCTTTCCCATGTCAATCATTAATCAAGACAATACTCTACAGACTGGCCTACAGGCCAGTCTGATGGAGGCATTTTCTCCATTAAGATTTCCTCTTCCAGCTGGGTGATGGTGGCACACGCCTTTAATCCCAGCACTTGAGAGTCAGAGGCAGGCGGATCTCTGAGTTCGAGGCCAGCCTCGTCTACAGAGTGAGTTCCGGGACAGCCAGGGCTACACAGAGAAACCCTGTCTGGAAAAAACAGAACAAAACAAAATAAAGTAAAAGATTTCCTCTTCTCAGCTCTGTCTAGGTTTGTGTCAAGTTGACAAAAACAAGCCAGGACAACCGAATCCTTGTCACCTTGGCATATGAAGACACAACTATTTTGTATTAGCTCTTTTCCTGTTGCTGTGCTAAAACACCGTGGCCAAGGCCACTTAAAGAAGAAAGAGTTAAATTGGTCTTTCAGTTCCAAGTGGATAAGTCAAAGAAAAGTGAGAGGCCAAAAGCTTCAGCCCACAGCACTGGGATGTACGTGGTCATGGTCTGCTCAGCTTTTACTCTAAATGGCTGGGGAGCTAATAACGTGCTTCTTTTGGGAGCACACCTTGGTGAAATGTCTCTTACAGTGTCCACACCTTCTTCAACAGGCTCAAGATTTCAAAGCAAATGCTTATGATCCACAGCCAGAGCTGCACCTTTCATTTGGACTTCAGAAGAAGTGTAAAGTGCAAATCTGGGACAAACGGGCCGGCCGAGGTGCCTATTCAACATATATCCAAGTGGACCTGGCCTCCAGGTTCTCCCTGCATCCCTTAGCCCCTGCCTGGTACAGGGTCCTCCTGGCTAGCACACCCTGCCCCCGAACCTGAACTTTCCAGCCCAGGGGGCTAGGCTGCTCATTCCCCAGAGGTTCTTCCCTATATAAGCCAGACATTTTGGTTACTGACTGTCTTAGTACCTTTGGGCCTCCTGGCCACTGCACCTGGTTCCCTTCTCTTCCCTTTCCCTCCTCCCCTCCCCCCACATGACCTAGCTCAGCCTGGTCATGTTCACTCTGGACTCTCCCAGATGTCTCTGTGTCTGGCTATGCTCTCCTATGCTCTCCCTTTTATCTACCATAAACCTTTTCCTCCACCATACCTAAGAGCAATCACGTCCTTTTCCTTTTAATTTCTTTCTCCCTTTCTTCCTTCCTTCCTCCTTCCATCTCTCTCTCTCTCTCTCTCTCTCTCTCTCTCTCTCTCTCTCTCTCTCTCTCTCTCTCTCTCTCCACTCATCTGATACTTGAAAACTGGGAGGGGCATAAATGAGCTTCCCTTCCAAGGGGCTGCCAACCTGGCCCTCCTGGGTGTGGATCACTTTTGACCGTGTCTGCTTCTGCCTCCCAACATATCTGGCTCCAAATTCTAGAGCATGATTCCTCTATGTGCTCCGACCATCCGTCTCTCCTCGCCTACTTGGTAAGCGTCCTCTCTCTGGCTCCTGGAACCCACTATGCCCTTTTGGGTGCCCATCAGGTGAGTATCTCCCTACTACGCCCTTTTTGAGACACTCCCCGTGTGGGCATCTCCCTTCTATGCCTTTTTGGGGCAACCACCATGTGGCTATGCCCTCCTGGGCCCTACCACATGGGCAATTCTACTTACTAAGACACTTGCATCTGTCCAGCTGTTTTCTCCTCTACCTGCTCTAACCACTTGTCTCTCCCCTTCTACTGGGTAAGAGTCATTACTCCAGAGATCCCTTCTTTGTCTACTTTTACTACAAAAGGCCACACTGGTGTGCCAGGAAGCTTCCCCTCGCCCTACCGGGCCCCCATCACGTGGAAAGGGCAGCCTCCGCTCGAGGATGCCCCAGACTGAAGTTCTTGTCACCAGGACACTTGCCCTTCTCTGCTCCCTCACGGCTCCTCTCAGCTCCTTTTTGGAACTTCCTCACTGCCCCCGTGGAGCTGCCTACACCCTCCTGGGTCTGCGGCCCCTCCCTTGCCCCCTTCGCATCGGAGCTATCGCTCTATCTGCTCTGTCTCTCCTTGTGCCCATCCATTGAGAGGTTCCTTGCCTCCCCCTAGGAGCTGTCTGATAAGTCCCACGGCTTCTCTATGCCCTCATGGCTTCTGGGATACTGGAACTTTCCCTTGGGTGGAGTTTCTGCTGGTTCCTCATTGTTCCTTATGGCTACACTGTTCTCTGTCTCTTAGCTGCCTAATCCTCCCCATAGTGGAATTCTTTCTGTGATCCTTCCTCCTTTTCTCATTGGATTCAATACCTTGATAGACAGACAGATAGATAGATGGATGGATAGATAGATAGATAGATAGATAGATGATAATCTACTATAGAGATGTGTATCTACTAAAAAAAAAAAACAGATGTTTTTAAATAGCAACCATGTGTCTCTCCTCTGTCTTGGCTGATGGCCTCATCAGGATAAAGTAGCCACATGACTGGCAGCCATCTTTACTAAGGTTAAAGGTACATGCTGTGTGACTTCACCATCTTCAGCTGACCACGTGGCATAAAGCAACAATTATAAAACATCTCAGTCCTATCGAGCCCTTAGTTTATCATTGTATCTCCTTTTAGACTAAGGAAGCAACAAGAAGTCTCCAAAATATTTTAGATTAATATGGATTTTTGTATGATGATAAAAATTTAAGGTTATATTTGCTACAACATACTATATATGTGATTAAACTCTGGTTTACAATATGCTCTATATGATGGTAAAATTTTAAAGGTTATAGAGATCTACTCAGACTAACAAAAGCTGACTTAGAGATTTACACTTAACTACTTATGTCTTTGCTAACTGTTCAACACCAAGCTTCTAAAGAAGGCATTTGATAATCAAGATTTATAAATTCCTAAGGTCTATACAGGTTCACAGTAATATTTGTCTAGGTTCTTTGTCTTTGCTTAATTTAAGCTTTAGTCATTTGGATAAACTAAGCCATACAAAAACTGCAATATTCCATAATGATGCACTATAAAAGGATCAGTAAAGAAAGCTACCCGTCTCTGTATGGACTTTATACGTCCTGCTTACTCCGGTGAAATTTATCCTCCTCAGATCTCTGATGATCTTGATGACTAGGCCAGGGACAACTTTGTCAATTTGACAGCAGCAACCATGGCTTCAGCTGCCTCCTCAGCTCCTTTCAGATGTAAAAATCAGGCCACAGGTTTCACTTTCTTAGAGCTACTACTGGATCTAGACACAGTTTACCTCACTACCAGACTCCAAAAAGAGATAAACTCACAAAATAGATTTCAATGTAACTCACTTTACATCACTGCTCTCAGTAATCAACCACCTGTATCTCGTGAATGATTGGATGAGAAAAGTTATAAAGTTTATGCAAGGTCTGAAAATATGAAAGTTTAAGTTGTGAGTGAAAGGGAAAAATCAGTGGCCATCTTGAGAGATGCTTCCCCCTCCCCTCCTCCAAAGGTATTTGTTGACCAACAGTTTTAGAAGTGACCAGAAGTTCAACTTATAAGGCTGGGACAATAAATCTATGTATCCTGGACTTGGCAAAACAAGATATGGGGAGTAATGGACTCAACTGACCAGAAGTTGACCTTAGAGGACAGTAGAACTGGAACAATAAATCTAAAATGTATATATCCTGAGTTCAACAAAAGCAGGGCACAGGGAGTACAAATTTATGTCTCTATAGAAACCCCAAATCCTGTTAGCAATTAGAAACCTTATGCTTACCTCATCCCTAGCCCCCGAGATATGTAACATTCTGCATATGAACCTTTCCATATAAATCCCTTAAAGTGAGTGCTCGGGACGTTTTCCTTCACCCGCTGTGTTGGATGGCAGACCAGGCTTGCTTGTTTTGTTATGAAAAACCTCTGTGTGCTTGCATCCAGATATTGGCTCTGTGGTGGTCTTGCTTGGGGGTCTTGCGACCTGGGCACAACATGAGGATCTAAGAAAATGTTTTAGGGTCTATGAAGGTGTTTTAAGGTGTATAAATGCAAGTTATAAAGGTCTGAGACGTGAAAGCTTAAGTTGTGATAAGAAAGTGACTTAAGGTATATGCAAAATGTTTCAGATTAATTTCCCTCTCTATGCTATTGTTATATTAAGACCTCGAATGTTTAGAGTCTTAACATTAATCAATGGAATTCTGATAAACTATTAATCTAGCTCTGGTAAGCACTGACTACTATTATCATGGTGACAAGCTCAAGATTTTAAATTTTCTTTGATTGTCTTCTAAGTATAGCCTTAAAAGTGCTTCTCATTGTGCTAAAAACACCTGTCTAGTCTATATACACCCAATTTTCTGGATAGAGGAAAAAGTATTCATGCTTTAAACCCCAAATCATTTTCTGTGCCCAAGCTTCTATTATGACTCAAAGGCATGAGTCTATAACTTTTTCTACAATGTGGATTTCAGTACAGATTATAATGGTAATGATAACATATTTAAAACTTAATCTCTTTTTGTAAACTTAAAAAAAAAAACTCTTGTATGTTTCAGGAAATGACTTGAATCCACCTTTCTTGGGTCAAACGGACTCCAGATAAGTACTGTCAATCACCTGCCTATTCTGCTTATTCCTGAGGGTGGCCTCTCCCCTCCCCGTTTCCCTGGTTTTAGGACTCCCCTCCCCCAACTACCAGGACCATGGGCCTAAAAGTTTCAAATGTACATCATGGATAAAAATTTTCCTCTAAACTCCTAAACTTTACCCACTGTCCCTAATATATATATATATATATATATATATATATATATATATATATATACATACATACATACATACATACATATGTTCTAGCAACCTGCCAGCTCCAGGTGGCCCCTGAAAATATGCATCCTGGACAGCTTCAAAGCGGCTAGCCCCAGGCACTCCACCCTCACAGATGCTGCCTGTACTTCCTCAACCCTAGATGGTCTTGCAGAGCCTGGACAGTGAGTGAACTAGCCGGCTCTTTGAGGACTTGGCCAGCATCCCAGTTTTCCTGGGTCCCCAAAGATATCCCCCAGACAACAGGAAGCAGTCTAAAGAGCATGGCTCCCCATTCCTGCTTCACCAGTCACCCCTTCCTATTCCCTCACCTTTAATAACAAAGGGAGGAATGTTAGAAACCAGATGTTCTTCAAGCCTGCCTTCAGCAAGTCATGCCAGCTGCCACATCATCATCAGTCGCCAAATGCAACACGTGTACCCTTTAATAAGTTCCCTGCCAACACAGCCTCCTCTTTTGCTCTGTCTGTATGTCTATCTCTCTCTTGTCCCCACTCCAAGATGACCTTTCACACACACACCCCATAAATCTTTTGTGTGAGATCTGTTGCGTGATGCCATTTCTGCAGCACTCCTTGGCTCTGATCTGCCAAGGTACTCAACTGTATAAATCCTAACAATGCCTCTTTCACATCTTCACGGAGTGTTTACCTTGGTGAGACACAGACAAACCACTGTTTACTCAGTAGGTACTTTAACACTCCAGTTAAGGAGGAAGTCAAAGGAAGGGAAGGGAGGGTAATAATGTCTAAACCTTGTAATGTCCTACAGAATCCACAAAGGAAAACCAAACAAAGGCATTGGAATAAAGGTAAATTAGCAATAGCCTGTAAGTCAGCAGTGATCTCTACACAAGGGGAAGAGAAGCTTCTTTACTGTGTGAGGCCTGACTGGGGAACTGAAAGAGCCTGGCTCTGGCTTTCACACTCATAACAAGTGGAGTCTTGAAGAAGTGCTTGCAGTCTTGCCCGCTATGGGTGAAGATACCTCTCCTATGAGGAGACGCTGGGCAATTTATCCCAGTGACCAGTTGTGGGGGTACTGAAATGAACATTCAAAAACCTCCTCTAAAAGCCCACAGGCATGCTGCTCTGTTCTAAATCTGACTTTGATGCTACAGAATCTGAGTCTTACGAATTTAATAACCTTGTCACAAAGGATGCGCCTCTGTGCTTATATGTATTTTATGCAGAATAATAATCAACTGAACAGTACAAAAATAAAGTGGTATGAAATAAATGCATTCTTTAGAAGTGGTCCCTCTGCCGGGCGGTGGTGGCACACGCCTTTAATCCCAGCACTCGGGAGGCAGAGCCAGGCGGATCTCTGTGAGTTCGAGGCCAGCCTGGACTACCAAGTGAGTTCCAGGAAAGGCGCAAAGCTACACAGAGAAACCCTGTCTTGAAAAACCAAAAAAAAAAAAAAAAAAAAAAAAGAAGTGGTCCCTCATGTCAGGTGCAAGTAAATATAGTCAGAAATCAAAATTTTAAAGCAAAATACAGTTTCCCAAATTGCTTTGGAACTCTTTAGCTTTATTCCCTTCTAAGAGAGGAAGGGGACTAAGGCATAGAAAGACACATGATAAAACCAATGGTAGAGGAAGAGGGGAAACCCTTCCAACTATAGGCTACACATAACAAAACAGCATGTACAAAAAAGCCCTGTGGCCTCCTATTGCCAGAGAAGGTAAAAGCTTTGTGAATGTCCCACAAAGGACTGGACCTCGGACTTTCCCCAGTTCCCAAGGAGGGGGCACACTCCTATTCTGGGAACTTATCTTTCTTTTAATAAAAGGTTTCTATTTCTACTAACTATGTGTCCTTGGTGCAATTCCAGGACAGAGAACCTGGAAATCCCATGGGTGCCATCTGGACTCTGATTTATGCTTATAACACTTTTGGTAAGCACCAGCTAGGAATACAAATACACGCATACACACATATGTATTCTCTTAAGAACTTTAACTCAGGGGCTGGAGAGATGACTCAGCAGTGAATGCTTGCTGCTCTTCCCGAACCCAGCAGTTCCCAGCACCAACAGCCTGTAACTCCAGCTCCAGGAGATCCAATGCCCTCTTCTGGCCTTTGTGGGGACCCACCCCTATACACATGGCATACTCCCCCATAAAAACTAAACAAACAAAACTTTAAGTTAAAGAAGCACAAAATGCTTTCCAACTTCTTTTTTCCTTACCAAGCTTCATCCTGGAATCTATTCCTGTCTTCCATTCCTCCTGCTTTCGCTCTCCCCGGTGTCCCGGCCAGCGGGATCTTCAGCAGAGACCCTAGAAGCGGGAATGGCGAATGAAAGGGACAAGAGACACAAAGAATTGACAGCAAGACAGTATTCTGATCAAGCTGCAAAATTTTATTTTTCTCAGGTGGGTTTTATAGTAAGCAGACCAGGAAACTTTCTTTGGGAAAAGATCAGGGGACTGTTGAGTTGCCAAGCAACCCAACCAAGCAACCTAACCACAAAACATTGTTACTAATGGCCAGTGTAGCAGAAAGATAAGGAAATGTTAAGTTATTTTCTAATAACTCAAGACTTGTCCAGGCATGTCAAAAGTTTCTGGTTAGTGGCTAAATACTGGACAACAGAAACTTAACTCAGGCAGGCAATATGGCATGGCTCTTAAAATTGTCCTCGGCATCTCCTCCCTTTATTTTATTTTGTGAGGGAGTGTGCCCACCTGAACGGTGGTGGACCTTAACTGGCTGGGGGAGACATTGACCTGACTCCTCCTAGAGCCACTGCGGGCTTGAGGAAAAGGGTACCTTTTGGGGAGGAGAGGGCTTAGGCATTTTGGTGCCTCTAGATACCAACCTCTACACAAGTCAGGTTTGTCTCTCAGGGAATCTGAACCAAGGGCTATTAAATCAGCCTTCCCCTGCAGGGCTTGGCCTTGCACCCAGCGGCGTCCATACCGGCTGATGCCAATAAGCAGAGGTTCGGACTTTATGCTGCTCCTAAAGGAGAAGAGGACTGAGAAATATCATGGGGATCACATCCTCAATCCAGCATTTCAAGTCGATGGTAATGAACCTGTATAGGTTTTGATGCCAGGGAGTCTATTTGTTTTTTGATGAATTGAATTAGCCTGCCAATTATAAAGGGACCCAAAGTTACAAATAGCAAAAGGCTAACTAATGGTCCTGCAAGAGGCATTAAAAGGGAGAACATGGATGATCTCCACCAATCATCTGCCGCAGCAGAGAATTACTGCTTATGTAGCTCTAGGCTAAGTTTATGTAGCTTGTTTATCTGGGTTTCTACCATTCCAGACTCATTAATATAATAACATTCTTCCCTCAGAAAAAGGCATATCCCACCCTTTTCTGCTGTCAGCAGGTCCAAGGCTTGTTGATTTTGTAGGGCAACCTGTGCAAGAGAGGTTAACTGCCTCTGGAGGGAGGATAAGGATGCTGAAGAAGCCTCAATTGCTACCTGAAGTTGCTTGGATAGGTGAGCTGTTGTTATGAAGGAATGACCCAGAACTCCTCCTGCCAAGCCTGCAGAGACCAGAGAGGTGGCAAGGGAAATTCCGGTCACAAGGGGCAAGAAGACAGCTCTTTTTTGCTTGGGCTGGGGGGTGTCCCATCCCAAGAACTCCGCAGGGATCCTGAGCATAAGTTGTGGGACCAGAGTGACAGGTAAGCAGAGCATGTCCTGTGGGATAGGGATGGTCAAATTTTTTGATTGAGTGCCACTGCACCAAAAGAAACATCCAGGGAGGGAAAAGGATGATTGGGTAATACGGTCTGGTTGCAAAAGGGAAGGGAAACACTAGAAAAGCAAAAATCAAACTTAGAGCGGCCTGGGTCAAGAAACAAGGGTACTTCAGGGATGAGGTGGAAGTCATGGGAATTATCAGTGGTGGTGATAAGGACCTGAGGCAGGGGTACTGCTATCAGGGGAGTAAGTCCTAAGGCTCCACATAGGAAGCATGATGAGAGATTCCCAATGCCAGTGTCATTAAATTTTTTTCTTGTATAAGGATATTATGATGGACCGTAGATTGTACTTGTACATAAGAGCGCCAAATGTAAAGTTAGGCCATGTGGCCGTTCAGGCCATGTACATGGCTCCTTCTACTGGACTAGTCCATTGTAAGTCCCACAGTCCCAAACCACTAGGGAATATCTTGTAGATGTCTTATAAAATTTAGGGCCGTTCCATTCTCTCCCAATTACCTGTCCCTTAGCAGGAGGAATGGCATCATGAATTTTGCAGTAAGAATAGGGACATCCTACACTTTTCTTCTTCAAATAAGTTTTGCAATTGTGAACAGTTTGATAAAAAAAAAAAAAAAAAACAGATAGCAGGAGCCACCTTGCCGGGGGAATTATGGAAATCAGTAAAGTTGAGTAAAATGGGATTCTGACATCCTTGCAAGGGGCAATCAGTGGTAGCCAATAGGTGACCAAAGGTCTGTGTTTTAGCATAATTAGTATAATTTTCAGTCAAATAAAAGCGCCATGCAAATGAGGATGTGTCGACCGGTCTCTGGTCTTGATAAGAAGGTACAGGCAGCAGCAAGATCCAGAATATCCAGGGAAATTCTCCCAGTTTTTTCTTCATCAGCATCTGTAAAGAAGGAGAAGGGAAGGGAAACAATCTCAGGGGCTATCCTTTTCCCTGGGTGATTGGTTAGAGCTGACTTGTTTAACTAATCTCTCGGGGAGCCAATGAGGGCCTCCCTCTGTTTGGTCATAGATGCATGCTGACCCTCGACCCCAGATCCACTGTGCAGTTAAGGGGTCTCACCACATGACCAGTGCTTGGTGGCTTTGAGTTTGTGGAGGCCAAAAGCGATCCGCTGCAGACCTTTCATTCTTGTCCAAGGTAAGGAAATTAAGGACAAAAAGTGCATGATGTAAAAGATTTCGGGGGTTGCCTCGTGTATCATACAGGCTTTCCTTCTTTAATTTATGAAGCATGGATTTTAGAGTCTGATGAGCACATTCAACGATGCCCTGGCCCTGGGGGTTGTAAGGAATACCAGTGACATTCTTAATCTGAAGTTGTTGGCAAAAAGATTGAAAATTTTTTCCAGTATATCCTGGGCCATTATCAGTTTTTATAACTTTAGGCTTTCCTAGGATGGAAAAGCATTGTAAAATATGGGAAATAACATTTTTGGAGGCCTCTCCGGCCTGGTGAGAGGCAAATACAAAACTGCTAAAGGTATCAACTGTAACATGTATGTATTTAAGTTTGTCAAATTCAATTAAATGAGTAACATCCATTTGCCAGATTTCATTGGGAACCAAGCCCCGGGGGTTAACTGCCAGATGTTGAACCGGGAGGGAGACAGCACAGTCAGTGCAATTTTTAACAATTTCTCGGACCTGTTCTTGGGTAAGCTTAAACAACAAACGAAGGGAATGAGCATTTAAATGGTGAAGAGAGTGTGCTTGGGCAGCCTGAGAAAGGGATCTTGCAAGAACAGGAAAAACTAATTGTGTGGTGGCATCAGCCAATGCATTTCCTTCAGATAGAGGACGAGGCAATTTTAAATGGGCCCGTAGATGGCCAATGAAAAAGGGGCACTGTCTAGCCATAATCAAGGAGCACAGCTGAAGAAAAAGTGGAGCTGCATTGGTAGAGGGTTTAATAAAGGGAACAGTTTCCAATAAGGGAACAGAATCGGCAACATAAGCACTACCAGTATACAAATTCAAGGGCTGAGAATGAAATAATTGAAAAACTTGAATGACTGCATAAAGTTCAACAAGCTGTGCTGAGGAATATGGGGAGAGGCAGAAGGTAGCCTTTCTATCCACAACATAGGCGGCAATCCCATTGGCTGAGCCATCTGTAAATATCAGGGGAGCCTCCCTTATAGGTTGTGAGGCAGTTAATTTAGGGAAAACAAAGGGATGGATTCTGGCAAACTGTAACAAGAGGATCACTAAGATAATGGTTACAATAGTACCAAGGAAGGACGAGCAGGCGATGGGCCATTCATCATTTGTTTGAAGCAGCCAATCTAATCGTTCTCACGTATAGGGGACAACTATGGAGTCAGGAGCTTTTCCAAAGTATTGGCGACTTGTTTCTCTGCCCTTAATAATTAGCTTGGCCATTAAAGATGGATAAGTGGCCAGGACCTTTGAGCGAGAGATGGGTAGGTAGACCCAGAGTAGGGGATTCCCTCTTTTTTCTTCTCTGATGGTTATTTGTTTCCAGAAGACTAGACATGGGGGGTTCAGGAATATTAATACTGACAGAATGACAGAAAGAAGGTGGACAAGGAGGACTCTTTTAGGGCTTTTTCTCCCTCCTTAATTAATTTTTGAACATCAGGGGGATGATTATAAGTTTTTTAAGACATCATTAATTAAATTCCAGTAGGAAAAGTTTTGAACGGGGACCTTTTCAGGACCAAAGGTCTGGTAAAAATCATTTAAACAGTCACCAACCTGTCTCCAGCGCTTCTCATCTATGGTTCCTTCTTGGGGAAACCAAGGACAGACATCTCCAATATAGTCAAGAATTTTTTTTAAGTCTTTCTTTTTAACCCTAGTTCTTCATGTCTTGAGAGACTGTTTCAGTCCCAAAATAAACAAATCCTGTTTACTAAATGCTTGTCCCATGGTAAACTTATCTTGCATCGTCACGTTACAATTCCTTCGGATCTGTCTCACGGCCGGGAATTTCTGCGCGCGATCACTGGAGCAGTCTTCCACGGTGGTCCAACTCTTAGGCAGGCTTGCCCTGGTGTGTGATGACGTTCATCACTCCTCCACATCCTAGAGCCTCACGCTGGGCGCCAGTTGTCCCGGCCAGCGGGATCTTCAGCAGAGACCCTAGAAGGGGGAATGGCAAATGAAAGGGACAAGAGACACAAAGAATTGACAGCAAGACAGTATTCTGATCAAGCTGCAAAATTTTATTTTTCTCAGGTGGGTTTTATAGTAAGCAGACCAGGAAACTTTCTTTGGGAAAAGATCAGGGGACTGTTGAGTTGCCAAGCAACCCAACCAAGCAACCTAACCACAAAACATTGTTACTAATGGCCAGTGTAGCAGAAAGATAAGGAAATGTTAAGTTATTTTCTAATAACTCAAGACTTGTCCAGGCATGTCAAAAGTTTCTGGTTAGTGGCTCAATACTGGACAACAGAAACTTAACTCAGGCAGGCAATATGGCATGGCTCTTCAAACTGTCCTCCGCACAACTGTCCTCCCGGAGCGGTTGGATGGGATGGGCAAGCTCCCAACCAGAAGGCACCAGCTCCAATTTATCCCTTTCCCCTTCTTCCCTGTAGGTGGCTTATGACGGCTGTGGTGGTTCCCACCCCCACCCCCTCCCACCCCCCCACCCCCTTCACATATTTGAATGCTTAGTCGTCCCGGAGTGGCACTAATTGAAAGTATTAAGAAGTGAGGCCTCGCAGAGGAAGTGTGTCATTGGGGATGGGCTTGGAGGTTCCAAAAGCCCAAGCCAGACCCAGCGGCTCTCTGGTCCTGCTGCCTTTGGATCTGGATGTAAAACTCCATCATTAGGATAATGGGCTAAACCTCTGAAACTGTAAAAAAGCTTTAATTAAATGCTCAATTTTTTTTTAAAAGATTTATTTATTTATTATGTATACAGTATTCTGCCTGCATGTGTCCCTGCAGGCCAGAAGAGGGCACCAGATCTCATCGCAAGTGGTGGTGAGCCACCATGTGGTTGCTGGGAATTGAACTCAGGACCTCTGGAAGAGCAGTTGGTGCTCTTAACCACTGAGCCATCTCTCCAGCCCATAAATGCTCAATTTTTTAAAAGTTAATTAAACTTATTGATTTTACATCCTAACCATAGTTTTCCCTGCCTTCTTTCCTCCCATTCCCTCTCCCAAACTCCCCTCTGTCCCCTACCCACAATCCTTTCCCCCTCCATTTCTGTTCAGAAAGGGGTAAGCCTCCCATGGATATCAACAAAACATGACATATCAAGTTGCAGTTGGATGAAGCACCTCTCCTTGTATTAAGGCTGGACAAAGCAATCCAGTATGAAGAATAGGTTCCCAAAAGCCAGCCAAAGTGTTAGGGACAGGCCCTGCTCCCACTGAGTCCTACAAGTAGACAAAGCTACACAACTGTCACATATGTGTAGAGGGTCTAGGTCAGTCCCATGCAGGCTCCCTGGTTGTCAATTCAGACTCTGTGAGCTTCTATGAGCCCAGGTTAGTTGGTTCTGTGGGTTTTCTTGTGATGTCCTTGACCCTTATGGTTCATATAATCCTTCCTCCCTCTCTTCAGCAGGACTCCCCGAGCTTGACCTAATGTTTGGCTATGGGTCTGCATCTGTTTCCATCAGTTACTGGATGAAGCCTCTCTGATGACAATTGGGGTAGGCACCAATTTATGAATATAGCAGAATATCATTAGGCATCATTACATTGATATTTTTTCCCCTCTAATCATGTTTGGTTCTCTCATAGGTCTTTGGGCCATCCAGACTCTGGGTCCTGGCACCCAGGCTGTGTCAGGGATGGACTCACTCTTGTGGCATGGGTCTCAGGCTGGACCAGTCATTGGTTGGCCACTCCTACAATCTTTGTGCCACCCTTTCCCCAGCACATTCCATAGGCAGGACAGACTGTAGGTCCAAGGTTATGCGGCTGGGTTGGTGTTTCAATCCTTCCACTGGAAGTCTTGCTTAGTCACAGGAGATGGCCAGTTCAGGCTGTGTATCTGCTATTGCTAGGAGTCTTAGCTGGGGTCCTCCTTGTAGATTCCCGGGAGTTTCCCTTGCACCAGGGTTCTACCTGCCCTGGAAATGCTCCCCCGAACCGTCTCTTTCAGTACTCCCCCTCCATCCACTGCTCAACCTGACCCCTCATGTTCCCATCCCCGGCTGCCCCCAGTCCACCCACAAGATCTCTTCTATTTCCCCTTCTCAAGGAGATCCGTGGATCCCCCCCTTGAGCCCTCCTTGTTACCTAGACTCTGTGTCTGTGGATTGTAGCATAATTCTCCTTTATTTTATAGCTAATATTCACTTATGAGTGAGTACATACCATGTTTGTCTTTCTGGGTCTGGGTTACCTCACTCAGGATGATTTTTTTCTAGTTCCATCCATTTGCCTGCAAATTTCATGACATCAATGTTTTTAACAGCTGAATAATACTCTATTGTGTAAATGTACCACATTTTCTTTATCCATTCTTCAGTTGAGGGACATCTAGGTTATTTCCAGGTTCTGGGTATTATGAATAATAAAGCTGCTATGAACATAGTTGAGCAAGTGTCCTTGTGGTAAAAATCAGTAGCCCTCTTATATACAAAAAATAAATGGGCTGCTGAGAAAGAAACCAGGGAAAAAAGGCCTTTCACAATAGCCAGAGAAAATAGAAAATATCTTGGGGTAACTCTAACCAAGCAAGTGAAAGACCTGTATGACAAGTCTTTGAAGAAAGAAATTGGAGAAGATATCAGAAGATGGAAAGATGTCTTAGTTATGGTTTCTATTGTTGTGAAGAGACACCATGATCACAGCAATCCTTATAAAGGAAAAAAACATTTGCAGAGGTTTAGTCCATTATCATCATGGTGTGACATGGTGGTGTGCAGGTAGACATGATGCTGGAGAAGTGTCCTACATCTTGGCTTGCAGGCAACAGGAAGTGGTCTAAGACACTGGGTGGTATCTGGAGCATATATGAGACCTCAAAGCCTGACTCCACAGTGATACACTTCCTTCAATAAGATCACATTACTCCAACAGGCCATACCTCCTAATAGTGCCACTCCTTTTGGGGTCATTTTCTTTCAAACAACCACATTCTACTCCCTGGCTCCCAAAGGTGTATAGCCATATCATAATGCAAAAATGTATTCAGTTCAACTTCAAAAGTGCCCATAGTCTGTAACAGTCTCAAACTTATTTCAAAGTCTAAAGTTCAAAGTCTCTTCTAAGATCCATGCAATCACTTAACTGAAATCCCCTGTTGCAAGTCGCAGGAAAATGTAATGGAATTCAGCTACTATCCCAAAAGCTACTACTTGGAAAGGTCAAGGACTTTTCCGAAGGTCAAGCCATGGCTTAAGAAGTCTTGGTGATATTTTAGCTTGTATATATATGCTAAACATATATATAAGCTAAACATATATGCATATATATATATGTTAGCTGATTCTTGCAATGATTTCTTTGTATGCTATGTATGCTTCCAAGAACTCATAACAGTGTATTTTATCTGAAATACCTATCAAGCATCCCAGGCCAAATGATCTCCTGAATAAAGGCAAATTAAGCTCGGACCCTCCTTTCTGATACAGCCTTAGTGGTATTTATACTAACATTATAGACTCCTAACATTTACCTAACCACCTCTAGGAATGTAGTTTGAGCACATAAAATCCCTTTTTCTGATATATTAACTGATTTTAGCTCTTAGTTGACCTCCTCCTTTACCACTCCCCTTTTGGGTTGTAAAAGAAAGCCTGACATCACTGCCTGAGGAAAACTCTTGTCTGCCTTTATGACCCTGTAAGAATTCAAGCCTGGGACTGGAGATATGGCTCAGCGATTAAGGGCACTGGCTGCTCTTCCCAAGGTCCTGAGTTCAATTCCTAGCAACCACATGGTGGCTCACAGCCATCTGTAATGAGATCTGGCACCCACTTCTGGCCAGCAGGCATACATGCAGACAGAACACTGTATACATAATAAATAAATAAATCTTTAAAAACAAAAAAAGAATTCAAGCCTGGTGATCTTGCTTGAGCTAGAGCACTGCTATTGCATGGGTATTTAACTGTAAACCTCAGAGACTGAGGGAGGATTTTGACTGGAGAACTAGATGGAGAACTAGAAGAATGAGATGGAAGATGAAGAAGAGCCAGATGGGTAAGAATGAGATGGGTAAAAATGAGATGGGTAAGAATGAGATGGGGCAGAACTAAGATGAGAGAATTAAGATAGAACTTAGAGGGAACAGCAGATAAATGTAGAGAGAAATTAGGCAAGAAAGGAGCTAGGAATGATAACAGAACTGAAGTTGTGTTGATAGGATTTTATGCCAGAGGAATAAAGTAGATGGACTAAGAGCTCGGTGTACTTAGATTCTTTTCCTGAAAATAATTCACGCCATTTGTAACTTCTCTTCTGGGCCCCTGGGAAGAAAACTATTAAGGTTGGTCCTTAACAATATTTGAGACCTAGTGGCTGTAGCTGAGGATATACCCTGTCAGGACCCTAAGGGAAGGCCAATATAGATGCCTAAATGCTAACAACTAGTATGGCCCATTAAGCAGTACTTAAAACATTCCACTGCTTTCCTAACCCAAAGTACCAAAATCCAAATTCCTCCAAACAAAAGCATGGCCAGGCCTATCACACAATACCACAGTGCCTGATATCAACTTCTGTTTTAGTTAGGGTTTCTATTGCTGTGAAGAGACACCATGACCACAGTAAACCTTATAAGGGAAAAAGTTAACTGGGGTGGCTCACATTTACAAAGGTTTAGTCCATTATCGTTATGGTGCAACATGGTGATATGCAGGCAGACATGTTGCTGGAGAAATAGCTGAATGTCCTATATCTTGACTTACAGGCAGCAGGAAGTGGTCTAAGACACTGGGTGGTGTCTTGAGCATATATGAGACCTCAAAGCCCACTTCCACAATGACACACTTCCTTCAATGAGACCATACCTACTCCAACAAGGACACACCTCCTAATAGTGCCACTCCCTTTGGGGGTCATTTTCTTTCAACTCACCACAAAAGATCTTCCATGCTCATGGATAGGTAGAATTAACATATTAAAAATGGCCATGTTGCCAAAAGCAATATACATATTTAATGCAATCCTCATTAAAATCCCAACACAATTCTTTACAGACCGGGAAATTCTTTACAGAACAATACTCAACTTCATATGGAGAAACAAAAAACTCAGAATAGTTAAAACAATCCTGTACAATGAAAGAACTTCCGGAGGTATCACCATCCCTGATTTCAAGTTGTACTGCAGTGTTATGGTAATAAAAACAGCATGGTATTGGCATAAAAAGAGAGAGGTGAATCAATGGAATCCAACTGAAGATCCAAATGTAAAGCCACACACCTATAGACGCCTGATTTTTTACAAAGAAGCCAAAATTATATGATGGAAAAAAGAAAGCATCTTGAACAATGGTGCTGGCATAACGAGATGTTGGCATGTAGGAGATTACAAATAGATCTATATCTATCACTCTGCACAAAACTCAAGTCCAAGAGGATAAAAGACCTCAACATAAAAACAGTTACATTAAACCTGATAGAAGAGAAAGTGGGAAATAACCTTGAACACATTGGTATTGGAGACAACTTCCTGAATAGAACACCAGTAGCACAGACACTAAGATAGACAATAAATGCAAACTCATGAAACTGAAAAGCTTCTGTAAGGCCTTTAAAGGATACTGTCAATAGGACAAAATGGCAGCCTACAGAATAGGAAAAAAAAAATCTTCACCAACCCCACATCCAACAGAGGGCTGATTTCTAAAATATATAAAGAACTCAAGAAACTAGACATCAAAACAAAGAAACAAATAATCCAATTAAAAATGGGGTACACATCTAAATAGAAGAATCTCAATTGACAGGGAAACACTTAAAGAAATGTTCAACATCCTTAGCCACCAGGGAAATGCAAATCAAAATGACTCTGAGAGTCTATCTTACACCTGTCAGAATGGCTAAAACACAAATGACAGCTCATGCTGGAAAGGATGTGGAGTAAGGGGAACAATCCTCTATTGCTGGTGGAAGTGCAAATTTGTACAGCCACTTTGGAAATCAATATGGCAGCTTCTCAGAAAATTGGGAATTGATCTACCTCAAGACCCAGCTGTACCACTCTTGGGCATGTACCCAATGTGCTCAATCATAAATGCTTCATTTTTCTAAGAGTTGCCAGGTTATGGTGTCTCTTCACAGCAATAGAACACTGACTAAGACAGTGCCCTACGTCCACAGACCAAGGAGCTCACACTAGAGGCTGCCAAGGGAATCCTATATGTAAGACTGGGAAAGTTGGGGAGCTGCCTGCTGCCCACAAGCACAAAGAGGATGGCTATATGGGACAAGGACTTGTTATGTGGACTAACCAGGGTAGCACTGGCCACATAGAACTATTATAAAAACAGGAAAGGTTCACTCAGTACCCACAAAAGACTTGACCTAGTGGTGTGCATCCCTCCTAGGCTAACAGTCATGTGGGCTCCAGGTGAACAGGGCCTGGGGCAGATGGGAGGCCATCCCTCAGCAGAGCCTAGCTGTGATCAGGTACATTTCCATGGCAATGAGTCACAACTGATTTCAGGAAAGGCCCATGGGAAAAGTGATTGGGTGGGGTGTTCTGCCTTGGGCTCTGACAGCGTAGACATTTATCTACCCAACATTAACTACTCCCCTATCCTCAAAGTTGAACTTGCCAAATCCTGGGCCAGAGGAGCAGAGACCTCCTCCTGTGCTCTTTTGGCAACCTGCACTTCCGTCTTGGGGATCCCCTTGCTGTGGTTCCACAATGACATTCCCCGGTGGGCCAAGCCACCTCTCCTATGGCATAGCCATTCTCAAATGCCAACACCTCATCCCCTGCTCATAGGATGGACTGAAAGCAGAAAGAACTGTTGCCACTGTACCTGGGCATACAGGGCTGCTGGGCCCAAGTCATGGGGTACGGATAGAAGATGAAGAGGTTACTTTGAAATCTATTATGGCATGTTTGATCATGTTGAGATTTATTGTAGTGGTATTTGCTCCACCCATGACTTTGGGCTATAGGGTCCGAAGGAGGCAGTGCATCTTATACGTGACCTCTTAAAAAGAAAAGGGTCATGAGCCCCTTCTCCCTGCTGCCTGCTGCCTGATGTGATCTAACTGCCAGGTGGATTCGCTCCCAGTCAGATCAGAAGACTTCAGCTGTCTACTCCGTTCTATATTCCTGAGTGTATTTCCTCAATTTACCTTAAAAAATTTCCCCAATACTTAACCAGACTCCCATAGATTTGTTGCATTATCTAAGAAGAGAGATGGCTCAGTGGTTAAGAGCACTAATGTCCCAGAGAACCCAAGTTCAATACCCAGGCCATCTGGTGTCTGATCCTACCAGGATTTAAAAAAAAAAAAAAAAAAAGACCCACGTGACCATGCCTCCTTCCAGCCTTATAGCCCCAGGTAATGGGGAGAGTAAATACCACTACAATTTGTGTTTAAGTTTAAACTTGGTCATCTTTCCCAATATGCCAGTTAAAGACTTCAATAGTGAGGAGTATTTTTTTAACCTTTTATTTAGTGTGTATGTGTATGTTATGACACAAGTGGAGGTCTGAGAACAACTTGCAGGAGTCGGTTCTCTCCACTACACGGGTCCCAAGGATCAAACTCAGGTCATCAGGCTTAGCAACATGTGCCTTAACATGCTATGTCATCTCACAAGCCCAAAACAAGAGATTTAAACATGGTCAGGCTGGGAAAAATGAATGGTCCCCAAAGAACCTTTTGCATACTGGCATGAGCTTTAAACTTAAATAAAAGTGAAGAGATAACATTATCTGACTGGTTGTTTTCTCAATTATGGTTCTACAAGATGGTTCAAGAAGTTCCTGTTGCTTGAGGAGATGGATCTCTGTAACACATCTGGCAAGCCACCAGCCAGGAGGCGAGAATATCAGATTCCCTGAAACTGGAGTTACAGCAGTTGGAGCTGCCTGGTGTGGGTGCTGGGAAGGAAACCTGGGTCCTCTGCAAGAACAAGCGCTCTTAACTATCAAACCCTCTCTAGCCCCATGATACAAGATTTTCTTTGTTGTTACTATAAAAACTTTATGAAATTTACCAAGGGAATACAGCATTTGGAGCAATCTGAATCTGTTCCTAGGCCATTGCCACTCGTTTGGATCCATGTTTGAGGTCAGATCTGTGTTGTTGCTATGTGTGTGAGTTGCTGGGAACTGAACTTAGGGCTTCATACATGCATGATGGGTAAGCACTCTACCCACTGAACTGTTTTCTCAGCCCCGTCAACAACTTTTGGCACCTAAACATGATGCTCTAAGGATGAACCCCTTTCACCAGAAGAGAAGCCTGGACAGGTGTCAGGTACCAGAATGTGCCCACTATGCTCAACCACTTAGTGTCACCTCCTCAGGTAGATGCTGGCAAGCTTTTTCAGGGACTTGGACTTGCTTGGTTTGGGCCACAGTCCACTGATTTCTTCTGAGCTGGTGAACAGTCAGCAGTATGGTGTCCACTGTGTTTTTTTCAGTGCGTGTGGCTTCAGAACATTTGGTTTAATTTGTTTTTAGAATGTTTGGTTGCTAATTTGTTAGCATTCAGCCTCTTGTCTCTTTGCCACCACTTTAGTGTCTAATTTATGGAAGAATATTTGAATAGTTGTCATTTGGTTCCCTAGATGGTTTTGTTTGGTAACTGTATAAATTCAAGTTATAAATATTTTAAAACTGGATAAATATAACTAGAGATAATTTGATTTTATGCTTCTTAAAATGGGGAATATTTGATTTCACACACCCCCCCAAATTTGAAGACATGGACAACGATTAAAGATTACAAATGGACAGCATACTTTAATTGAAATTTTATTTTATTTTTGGGTTTTCAAGACAGGGTTTCCTCTGTGTAGCCTTGGCTGTCCTGGAATTCACTCTGTAGACCAGGCTGGTCTCGAACTTACAGAGATCCACCTGCCTCTGCCTCTTGAGAGCTGGGATTAAAGGCATGTGCCACCACTACCAGGTCTAACTGAAAATTTAAAACATCTAAAGAAAAAACTGAAATTTTAATATATAATTAATAAGAGTTTTAAAACTACATCTAAGATAAAGAAATGTTTAAATGAGTAAGAAATTAATAAAAGGTTTAATAAAGATAAACTCTAAAAAAAAGGCTTTGTTTTCTGCACTGACTTTTTTCTCCTCTTTACCTTCAAACAGAACAAAATTTTCTAGCAAAGAAAAGAACTGTTAGTCTATTTTAGGATAAAACCTAAAGAGAAAAGAGATCCCATTCTAAAAATCCCCTGTTGTGAAGGTGACCCTCTGTTAATTAACTCTTAAACAAGTAAGGAAAATAAACTAATCCTACCTAACAGCTTTACTTTGGAACTTTCTCCTCTCGTTAAACCCTTCTTACATCTCAAAGAGGTAGAGTTTTAATTCTGTATGAGTTCTTCTTGCTGGGTGTAACCTATTCTAATTGTGTCATGTCTGTTCATGGTAATTGTTTTCATGTCATCTTTGTCATTTTGCATTCTGAGAAAGAACTTAGTGATGAAAGTCTGTGACCATTTCATTTATACATACAAAAACTTTGTTGTGTGCTTCTCTTAGCATGCCTAATTTTGCTTTTAAGATTTATGTGTACAAGTGTTTTGTCTGTATGTACGTATGTATGTGCCACACATGTATGCCTCAGAGGTCAGAAGAGGGCATTGGATCCCATGGACCTAGAGTTATGAATGGTCATGTGCTACTTTTGGGTGCCGGAAATTGAACTCAGGTTTTCTGCAAGTGCAACAAGTCCTCTTAATTGCTAAGCTATCACTCCAGCCTCATTACCATTACATTAAAACATGTAAGAAAACATGAATGTGTGAGAGATATATTAAAAGGCCTGATAAATACATACTGCCTTATAATAAATGTAGGTATTCTTAACTCTCTGAAACTTAATGGTATTTTTTTTGCCTATCAAATGTTTTATGAAACCTTAAACTGCTACTTGTGTATATAAAATGAACAGCATTCATTGGCATCACAACATGAAAGCTCCACTAAGCCATTAAATTTTACACTGGATACATAGATTTTTAATAAGGATTTTCTTCTGAAACCGGTTCTGGAAAAGATTAAAATTTTATTTCATTTTTTTTAAAGTCAAGGGTAACAAAAATAAAACAGCATCCAAATGATTTATGTTGATCCCATTCTCCGGATGCTGTGTTAAGAATTCTTCTGTTGGGCTGATCCCTTTTATAAGACTGCTCTTAGTGTACAAGTGATGGACGTAAGATTTCTGGAACGGTTGAGATACATCTAGAATGATGGATATGTTTGCCGAAGATCTTTAAGTTGAACTTCCTTTCCATAGTGAAAATTATAGGAGTTACAATACCATCAAGCAGTAACATTAGACTGGGTATACTTACTCTGTATGTAATAAAAAGGACATATTAAGTCTTACCAAAAAAGGAAAGTCTCCCTTATTTTGGTGACAACTCTGCATTGCTAAAATTGTATTTCTCTGGAGATCCTGGACAGAGATAATATACTGTATCTGACAGGGTATTAAAGCTGGTTAAAGAAGGGCACTAGATGTTTGGAGACAAGATACAGCCTGTAGAGGTCATTGTAAGGGAGTGGCACCCGTGTCCATAAGACCCAAGTCTCTGCAGCTTCAAGAACACAAGGACCCTACACCTATAAGCTATTAAAAGGCTGAAGGACTTAAAGATCTCTTCAGACAACAAACAGGATGCTTTAACTTCTTAAAGGCAAAGATAAACTCTACTATAAATCTGTCAGTAATTATAACCTTGTTTTGGTTTTTTTCATTCTTTTTCTTTTGGCACTGTTGGTACTCAATGGTTACAACTCTATACTATCTTCCCCTTAACATGTTCTACTACTGGATTTTTTCCTTAAAATTGTTCTGTTGTATTTTGCCATGATCTTAATGCATAACCATCGGTTGGGATTTTTTTGTTTGTATATATGGTTTTATTTGTTTGTTTGTTAATTTGTTTTAGCAGTCTAAAGGACCATATCCAGAACAATTGCACAGCTTTTGGTTTTCTTGACTCTGGTCCTTTATGGGGCCACTGGTTGGCATAATCATATTATTCTTGCATTGACAACTTGTTTAAGATTTATTTAAGTGTATGGATGTTTTGCTTGCAGATATGGATGTGTATCACATGTGTGTCTGGTGCATACAGATGCCAAAAGAGGTCGTTAAATCCTTAGGAACTGCAATTATGGATGGTTGTGAGCTGCCATGTGGGTGCTGAGAATCAGACCCAGGTCCCCTGCAAGAGCAATTAGTGCTCTTAACTGCTAAACCATTTCTCCAGTCCAAATTCTTGCATTTTTTTTTTGATCCTGTAAAATCTGTGTCTTCTAGGATATGACAGTTTCAAACTTAACTCATTATGATATAGGGATTCAAGTCAACTCCCACAACAAAAACTCCAAAGCCTCCTCTCCAACCAATAGATACAACAGGAAGAGAGCTTTGTAGTCTCTCTTTGGCAAGGACTACACTCCTCATCAGCAAGGAAATTGTACAAAATAGATTATCATCCTCAGAAAGATTTTTTTTTTTTTTTTTGGTTTTTCGAGACAGGGTTTCTCTGTGTAGATTTGCACCTTTCCTGGATCTCGCTCTGTAGACCAGGCTGGCCTCGAACTCACAGAGATCCGCCTGGCTCTGCCTCCCAAGTGCTGGGATTAAAGGCGTACGCCACCACCGCCCGGCCTCAGGAAGATTTTTAAGAGCACAGCTCTGAGAATGGAGTAAAGTGAGGTAGGCGAATAGGAAGTTCTAGAGGCAAACAAATAAAAAACAATCCCAAAGGAATACTGGAAACCCCTCCAACTGAGGTCTATGCATAACAAAACAGCATGCTTTTAAAAAAAAGCCCTACCTTCTCTAATTGCCAGAAAAGATGGAGGCTATGTAAATGTGCTATAAAAGATAGAGACTCTCTTGGCCAAGGGCCTTTTGGTCTTAGAACTTTCTTTGCCAGTCTTTGGGCCCACTCCCATTCTGGGGAATATTTATCTTTTTTCCTAGTAAAAGATCTCTATTTCCATCACTACCCATGTGTCTCTGGTCCAACTCTTGTTCTAGAACACAGGAACCTGGGCATCTTAGTAGGGTGCACTCTGGACTCTGACCCATGCCAACAGTGAAAGTACAACTGAGGTTCTCTTAGATTTATGTTTTGGCATGTCTTGCTTTTATAAAAGGTGTGTTTGTTTAATGGCCATCTGGGAAACATTTTTGGTTCTAAAAATGTAGCAAGACTACCTAATGAACCAAACACTGTTTTGTTTTTGTTTTTGAGACACAGTTTCACTATGTATCCCTGTTTGGCCTGGAACTATGTAGACCAGGCTGGCCTTAAATGCACAGAGCTCTGCCTACCTCTGCCTTTTGAATGCTGGGATTAAAGGTGTGCATTATCACTCTGCCAGGCTAAGGTTAGTTAATGAATATTGAAAAAATGGGAAAGTTGTTTGTTTTTAATCAGTTTTGCATGAGAAAAAACCCCCTACTTTTCTTTTGAAGCCACATCTCAGGATGCAATCAACAGATATATGATCCTTCATTTACTGTTTGTGACAATCAATTCAATTTCTTATACACTCAAATCCAAATTAGAACTATCTGCCTCACAATGAGATTTTACTGCTATTACTTAGTTTTCTAAGTTCTAGATGCTGTAAAAGTTACAAGTCAGTACTGTTTCAACACTTGTATTTCTTCTCCTCAAAAAATTAAGGAGCAAATATTTTAATAAGCCTTATGCAAAACAGTTCTGACCATTTTACTGGTAGTTAACCTGACATATGTGTCTGGGTACAGCCATGACTTCTCTGAGAACTGGAAAATACTATATAATGCAAAAAGTAAAAAATGTACAACTTTCCCAAATAACTTCACTTAAACTATGCTGGCATACAGAATATGGGTAGGCCAGACCACCAGTTAAATTTGCTAGACACAAAAATAATAATAACTTGAAGATTAAAGAAAGCAAAACAGACTTTAACTGGTGAAAGGGACTACATTGCACATGTGCTTCTGGAAGAGCTTCTGGAGGGATGATAGATGGCCCACCCCTTTGACTGGCTGTGGCCCACAGAGTCCGAGACAAATTATTGGAGGTGACAACAGAGCCCAGTCACTGGTAGGTCAGGGTTTGCTTACAGCACTCCAGCTAGCACCAAGGCAGATAGTAAGGAGCTACCTAGAATCCCACGGCCAGGTCTTTTTTTTTTCTTTTTAAATAATGGAAAACCATCTGTGAGGTTAACATAATAATATAAATCAAAGCTGACACAGCTAAGTGCTGGCTCAGAGTCAACCATCTGGATATGGGATTGTGCTAGTCCTTAATGACTTTGTTCAATATTTAATCAAAAATTAAGAAAGGTATAATTAACATGCAACTCTTGTAAAAAAAAAAAGAAAATAAAAAATATTAATTTTTCCATGGATGACCAGCACAAACTGTTAATCTGTTAAGAAAAGCCCAACTTTCCCACCATTCCAGAATATAAATATACACCCCATCTGTTTCTCTGTAAGCATCTTAGGTCGAGGACAAATGAGATAAAGCCAGGAGCTGACCACCCAACAGACTGATTGCTCATTCTCTGTGTGGCTGAGTCACTCATTTCTTGTGATGGGCATGGCATCTTTGAATGTGCAAGTCTTTGGGACCTTCTTGACCATCTTGGCAGAACGACAATGGGTGCTTTTTGTTTTCTTGCTGGAATCAGTGTTTCCTCTGAGGTTCAAACATGACCACTGGCCAGATCCCAAAGAGAAACTGTGGAAACAAGTGAGGACAAAATGAGAGAAAAGATTATTCTATGCCTGAAAAGAAAGGAGATTTACAATCCCTGGGGGTCTGGACTGTAACCTGTGTTAGGTTTGTTAGTATGAGCGGCCTGAGCATAGCAAGGGCCTTGCATCCGATCTCAAAAACAACCTTTACTTAATTTATTTAAATATATTAAGTATCTACTTTGTCAACGTGGAAGTAGGCGTTTAATCTGTTAACTCCTAAAGACATCTTTTGGGGGGATTTGTGCGCACATGCACATATGCGAATGCAGTGCTTGTGGAAGTCGGAGAGGGCACTGGATCCCTTAGAGCTGGAATCAGAGGTGGCTGTGAGGCTCCTGACGTGGGTGCTGGGAATGGAACTTGGGTCCTTTGAAAGAACAGGACATGCTTTTAACTGCTGAGCCATCTCCCTAGCCCCTTAATCTTCAATTCTTCCAATAATGCTGTAATGTTGCTATTAACAGCTCCATTCTGTTGAAGTAACTCAGGTTTAAAGAAGAGATTTGTCTAAGCTCACATATAGTGGATGGATAATGAACACTTCAGAATTCATGTCTGTTGTTCCAAAGTCTGTGCTGCTCCTCATAGCTCCCTGTTGTCTTTTACATCCATGTGATCTTCTCAAGACCACCACCACCCTGCCCTTTACAACACAGACTTACCTTCACTTTTGGCCTGCATTTCAGGTAAAGTGTTCTTGTATATAAACTGAAAGGAAAGTAGAAAAATAAATTTCTTAGACAAATCAACTCATAGACTGTAATTTCAGGATGTTTGTAGTTTAGGACCAAGCATCATCACATGATGTCCCATGTGGTTGGTATCATAACTCTATCTTTGCAAATGCAGCTCTATCATTAATTAAATAAACCTATGAGAAACCCAGAGAGGTAACAGTTTCTTTGGTGTCTGTCTTTAAAGTGAGTCACTGCTGGAAGTGAGATTAGATCAGTAAAGCAGTACATATAGCAAACATTGCTGAATTTTTCCCTGAAAGTCATGAGGTTGTCTATAATACACAACATAGTGTTATGTACACTACACTATTTAAATGTATTTGAATAGTAACAAATATATCATGACAACATATACAAAACCTAATTTTCTAGTATTTCAAACAAGAATGTAAAGGTCAAAAGAACCTCATTAAGTTTATAAAATTTAATATGGCTATGCTATATTTTCCTGTACTAAAGCTGGAACTGCAGGGAATGGCAGTTCAGAAGTTACCTGGACATTTGCTAGCTGTAAGACTTTGAATTTGTTAATTGCTGATTGTGGTGATGTATTGTGTCTCCCACTATATTGTGCACCATAATAAAGTTTATCTGAGGATCGGAGGAAAAAGCCAGTATAGTAAACATAGAGGTCAGGCAATGTTAGCACACGCCTTTAATCCTATCACTCTGAGAAACAGAGATCCATCTGGATCTCTGTGAGTTCAAGTCCACACGGGGAACAGAGCCAGGTGTGGTGGCACATGCCTTAAATTCCAACACTAGTTAACCATAAAGGTCTGGAGGTCTGTACAGACAGACAGGAAGTACCTGGGCAGACAGAGGAAGTGAGATGCAGAACAGAAAGGCATATAAGCGTGGGCATACAGGAAGTAGCTCTCTTTGGCTGAGGATCTCCAAGTGGTAAGATCGTGGCTGGCTTCTTTCTGCTTTTCTGATCTCTTGTTTTTAACCCCAATATCTGGCTCTGGTTTTTTGTTTGTTTGTTTGTTTTTTATTAGTAAGACTGTTTAGCACTTTGTCTTACAGCTGATATTTTTAAGTATTTCTCCAACAAAAAAACCTAAACAACTGCTTTTAGTGGAAAGTTTATTAGCACAATTTAGGCTGACAATAATGCAAAAGTAGTTTTTCACTGGACGCAGTGGCACTTGCTTGTAATCCTAGTACTCAGTAGAGAAAAGCAGGAGGGTCTTGAGTTTGAGGCCAACCTAGGCTACTTAGTAAATTTCAGGCCATCCTAATCTACAAGGTGAGAATACCTGGGGTGGGGAGGGAACAAGTCATATTCAACTTAATTATTTCAACAATCTATTAAGTATTTAACAGAAGAGGAAATTGAGGCTTGGGGCCAAATAAGCAATTTGGCTTTGTCTTCTAGGTAAAACGGCAGACTAGCAGTTGCTTCCGTGTGACCTGGTTAAGAGGAAAAGTCAGTATAAGAAATACACCTTATTCCAAAGAGAGAAAAGCTTTGGAAATTCATACAGGTAGTGATAGATCAGCTGAAAAGTATAGAGAGAAAGAAAGGTAATGTATCAGCCAAGCCAAGAAAATGGAGAATCAATCCCCCCCGCCCAAGCTAACCTGCAACAACCCAAGTGTAGGCCTCATTAACTGAGAATAACCCTGGAGTCTGACTGCTCTGAGCCTGAGGTCAGCAGGTAGGGCAACCTCTGGAACTATCTATTTGCTGTTCACTTGGCATCCACTGCTGAATTCCTCCAGCAGGATGATCAATACTTAGTGTTTGTAAAGTATGAAGTCAGGTCTTCTGCCCATACAGATTTTTGTGCTTTGGTTGCTTCCTTACTCCCCACACACTTGGGAAATCCTCTCTAGCTAGAACATTAGCTACCTCAGAGGTATAATACTGGGAGTCTCCAGAGTACCTGCCCAATTCATGGATTGACTACAAAGCTAAGTGTGGTCAGCTAAGACTCTTGGTTCACAAAGAGGCCACTAAAGTTAAGACAACTCTAGTGAACTTTGGACAGTTGTCCAATATAGGCTCCTCACCAGCAAAAAGCACAGCAAAGATGAGTGTCTACAACTTAGTAGGCCTTGTGTCTGTTATTGACCATCTCCAAGTTTCGAGGGCACAGAAAGAAGCTGTTCCAAGGCTTGCTCTATTTCTCTTTCCTGTTTTTTTTGCCTCTGTGCATCCTCCTTTTTCTTTTCACTTCTCTTTTAGTAGTATTTCTATTTTATTATACATATTTTTAAGAAGCAAGACTTCTATGTTTTTACTCTCTACCCCCTTTTCTTGTTATTTTGAGGCAAGGGCATATGTAGTTCAGGCTGGCCTCCAATTCACTATGTAGATGAAGATGACTTTGAACTCCTGATCCTCCTGCCTCTATCTCCTGGTGCCATCATGCCCAGTTTTATGTGGTGCTGGGGATGGACCCCAAGGCTTTGTGCATGCTAAGCAAGTATCCACCAGGTGAGCTACATTCCTAGATCCTTTTCTTTTCTTTTTTTTTTTTTGCCTGTGTTTCCCTTTTCCATCCTTCCTACTATATTACATATTTTTACTTTACCTTATTTATTTTTTTGCCTTTTTGAGACAGAGTTTCTCTGTGTAAACCTGGAATTTGCTCTGTAGACTAGGCTGGGCTTGAACTCACAGAGATCCGCTTGCCTCTGCCTCCCAAGTGCTGAGATTAAAGGCTTGGATTACTACTGCCTGGTTCACTTTATTTATTTATTTTTTTAAGATTTACATCTTTATTTTTAATCTCCTTTCTTACATTATCTAATTTTGTTTTCAAACTTTGAATAATGGGAACTCTCTTGTTGCTGTTGTTTTGAGATAGTTATTCTCAAACTCACTATGTATAGCTGAGACTGACCTCTGAACTCTTAAAATCCTGCCTCTACTTCTCAAGGACTGGGATTACAGCCATGTGCCACTGTGCTCAGCTTGCTTTTTCTTTTTCTGATCTCTTAATCTTTTTCCATTTTTAAATTTAAAAAAATGCATGGGGGGTATTATGTATATGTGTATACATCTGTGTGTGCCATATGTATGTGGGTGCCTGCAGAGGTCAGAAAAGGGTGTTAGGTTCCTTGGAGTTAAGATAACAGGCAATTGTGAGCTGTCCAATGTGGGTAGATTCTGGGAACCAAACTCAGGTCCTTTGGTAAAGCAGCAAGTGCTCTTAACTGTTGAGCCATCTTTCCAGGCTGTCTAGATCCTTTTTCTTTCCCTTTATAATATTCTTCTCTACTCTTTTTCCTGTTCTTTTATTTAACCATGCTTCTCTTTTATTTCTTTCTGTCTCCTTCCTTTATCTCATTCAGTATTATTTTCATATTTATCCTAAGAAATTTTAATTTTTATTAATTCTTTGAGAATTTTACACAATATTTTGAACATATTCATCATCTCCATTCCATCCTTTGCAATTGTTTAACTTTGTAGCACACTACATTAATTTTACCACTTTCAGTTTTTTTTGGGGGGGGGCGGGGTTTCAAGACAGGATTTCTCTGTGTAGCTTTGGTACCTGTCCTGGATCTCGCTCTGTAGACCAGGCTGGCCTCAAACTCACAGAGATCCTCCTGGCTCTGCCTCCTGAGTGCTGGGATTAAAGGGTTGCACCAACACCCCCACCCCCACCTCCGGCCTGCCACTTTCTGTTTTATGGTCAGTGATATTGTATTGGGCTTTAATCAGTGCTCACTGTATTTAGAGATTTTTTTTCTGGTTTAATACTTTTGCAATTACAGCAGTCTGATTACTCTGTTCTCAGTGCTACTAGGGAACTGAGCCCTCAAGAGCAAGCTGACCAATCAGAATAAAATCAGGCTCATCTTGGTTTAACACATCCTCTTTGGGAGTGTGGGAGTAGTGGTTCGAGACAGGGTCTCTCTGTGCAGACCTGGCTGTCCTGGAACTCACAGAGATCTGCCTGGCTCTGCCTCCTGAGTGCTGGGATTAAAGGCCTGTACCACCACCGGGCCTTGTGCCACACATCTTTAATTCCAGCACTCAGATCTCTGTGAAGCCAGAGGCCAGGAGGTCTACATGGTGAGTTCCGAGCCAATATGCACTACATAGTGAGAATCTGTTTCAACAACAACAATCCCCACCCTCACAAAAAAACAAAATGAAACAAACAACAACAAAACAAACTGGAAAGATATCTAAATAGTCTATCAAATCACAACATAGAAACACAAGAAACATGAAAAAGCAAGACAATGTGATTCCTTCAAAATATAGTTCCCTACCCTCTAAACTTAAAGATGATGGGTAAAATTCTGGATAATTTGCCTTAAGATTGTTACAAATCTTGAAGTGATGAAGCTGTAGTAGGGACTTCAAAGGTGAAAGTACTGACTTTTCATTCTGCTTACAGATGTCCAATGACACCCTAAAGCTAAATAAAAACCTGGCACTCAAAACAGTGGTGGCGCACGCCTTTAATCCCAGCACTCCGAAGGCAGAGCAGGCGGATCTCTGAGTTTGAGGCCAGCCTGGTCTACAGAATGAGTTCCAGGACAGCCAGAAACCTGAAACCTTGTCTCAAAAAACCAAAACAAAAAACCAACAACAAAACCACCCCCTGGCACTTGGCCTTCATTTTGCAAAAACTGTCTCCTTTGCTACCTTAAATTTTGGATCAGATTTTAGCTCAGATATGCTTCGGACATCTCAGTTATTTAAGGATATTCATTTAAAGCTGGTAATGCCACACTGTGAAAGGCTGAAAGAACCAAGGTAAGAGAAACTAAGATATTGCCAAGATTTGCAGACATCACGATCAGTACATTATCAATGGCCATCTTTTTATGACACCCTGTTCCAGACAACCAGACAAGTACCTAGAAGTCTTCAGTCACTTGCCTGAAACCTGAAGGCTTAACTAATTTCATCTGGTCTTTCTGACTTTCTTTTCTCTTAGTCATTCTCTCCAGGATCCCAGAAACAACAGTTGCAATCAATAGGCCTCATCTATAAATAACTTGAATCATCATTTAAAACTAGACAGTTCTGCACAGCCATCTGCAGTTAATGATCAGTAAGACCAAGACTGCTCACCTATGCATATTTTGTGATCCTATTCCCACTTCCGTTCTTTCCCAGTTAAAACCAGAAGCTCTTCAGTACCTCAATGATAGAATTGAAGACATTTGGTTCTGTGGTACTTTCTGGTTTAGATACACTTAATATAGACTATCGCGTCTTTACAAAGATGCTCTATCACACCTGAGTATTCCAATGTACATCCAAAGAGTACTCCACAAAACTAAGGTACCCTCCTAATCCACCATAATACAACACTTCTAAGCAGGTATTAACATTACATTCAAGCTACTGGTTTCCACTTTAACTGTCCCAAGGATTTTCTTTTCTTTGGGCACTAGGTTCTTACCCAGGCACACACATACCAACAGGCTACACCTTAAGAACACATGGTTTTCATTCTGCAGAATGACCTTCAACCTTCACCAACTGTCCCTCAAGACCCAAGTCATGAACTTTTGGTTCAAAGGAAATTTTCTTTTTTCTTTCCTTTTGTTTGTTTCTTTTTTTAATTTGGTTTTGTTTTTTGAGACAGGACAATTCTGGCTGTCCTGGAACTCACTCTGTAGACCACGCTAGCCTTGAACTCAGAGACCTGCCTACCTCTGCCTCCTGAGTGCTGGGAATAAAGCGTGTGCTACCACTGCCTGGCTTCTTTTTTCTATAAATATTCTAGCTTGTTCCCAAGAAGAATCTGAGACTAAATGTGCCACTGGTGAAGAGATCAGCATGCACACATTCACTCATTAAAGAACATTATATCCTGGGGTTGGGAATTTAGCTCAGTGGTAGAGTGCTTGCCTAGCAAGCACAAGGCCCTGGGTTCGGTCCTCAGCTCTGGAAAAGAACAAAAACAAAAACAAAAACAAGAACATTATATCCTGGGTGCTGACTCCATGCCAAGTGTTATTCTGCACATCTGAAAGGTGGCAGTGAATAGGTAAGTCTCTGCTTGGATGAACTCATACTAGTCTGGAGAGGAAAACAAGTAAATACAAACATAACTTATCATAAACACTTTGAAGGGGCTGGAGAGATAGTTCAGGAGTTAAGAGCACCAGTGGCTCAGAATCATCTGTAGCTCCAGTTCCAGAGGACCTGATGGTCTCTTCTGGACTTTGCAGGCACCCAGCACACATATATGGCACACAGAAATATGTGCCGGCAAAACAAAAAAATAAAATAAATACAAAAAATACATGCAGGCAAAGCAAAATAAAAATAAATAAATTAAAAAAAATCAATCAATAAAAAAACCAAATAAATAAATGATTTGAAGAAAGATAAGGCCTAATAAGTGGGAAAAGGATGCTATGGAGGTATGAATGGGTGGGGTGACCAGTGAGAACTTAAGTCCATTTTCGCCAAAAGTGTCTAATCCTGAACAGTCTCAAAGGGAACAAAGTGATAACCAACTTATTTCTGGAAAAAGGGCCTCCTACCCGGAGAAGGTCAGGATTGAAAACTCTAAGATCATACACCACCACACCCTCTTGTTACTCATCAAGACTTTGGTGTAACTGGGCCTCTTGGATACTAGTCAGCTTTGATCCATCTGCTTTTGGAATACACATGATAGAATCCCCAACTACCAGCTGCTTCATGACCCCATGGACACATGACATAAATGTGGGAAGGGCTTTCTTATGATCACCCAGTAGCAAGGGCATTGCTGGAACCCTGACTCTGTTTCCAACATTTTATATTTACACCTTCTTTCTTGAAGTATAAAGTCAAAAAAAGCAAAACTCTTCCAATACTAGGTTAAAAAGCCTTTATTTCCTACCTGAAAAGGATGTGAAGATAAGAACCCAGGCCAGTTAAAATATGCCACCATGCATGAAACTGTGTTGTAACACCTAGGATAGGGGGCGCTCTCTTTCGAAAGTTCCTGTGTGGAGAAGGGGGAAACCACTGTTACAATTGAAGATATACTAGTGCTGACAATGTCACATTTTGAAACATTCTAAAATATGGAAAGGAAATTATTTAATTTCCTTACATTCACTGTATTGTTTTCTAAAAACATGTTGTAGAATAAACAAAATTTCCATAAGTTTCATGAAGAAATGATTCAAACTAATGTAGAAAACAATTATTGACCTCTTACTAATTTTAATGCATATTAATTCATTAAAGGCTTTGAATAGTCTTACCACAGAATCTATCATTTTGTTCCAGGTAGTCACTAATCCATGGAAATTCTTTTTTAGGTAGTACTTGATTAATACTCTGGAACAACTATTTTCTGGAACACACTTTGAGAAACACTAGTCCAGGTAGCTATCTGCTCAGGAAAGAATACACATGCATTTTTTTTCATCTCAGTATACCACTATACAGTCTATAAATTCTCTTAATATCTATGATTTCACATCTACGTGCTTCTTTGAGGAAGCAGTTATTAGCAAAGCTATAAATGGCCTGAACTTAAAATTTGTAGATTAATTTAGCAACCCAAGTCAATCACCTAGGAGTTCAGATGGGTCTCAAATTCTTTTGGTTACAAAGTATATATCATATTAATATTTATTAGAGAAGAATACCAAAGTGGAATGCCAACTTGAGGCCATATGGTAGGTTAGTGGATCACAAAGCTTCACTCTCCTAGGCGTTCTGCTGGATATTTCTAATTCAGAACCATGAATCTAGATCTTAGTTTCTTACTTTCTTCTTTCTACCCTGGCCCTCCAGGGTTTCATGTAGTCTAGACTAGCTTTCGTATCTTAAACCTCCTGCCTAGAGTGCTGGGATTATGGATATACACCACCATATCCAGCTAGATCTTAGTGTGTAAGCAAGGAATGTATTTACTTGTCTACATTTATACAACTTTTTACTATAGGGATCTAAGTAAAGTATATACTGACTTATCTACATTTAAAGTTCTACATTTACATATGCAACCTTTTTTTTTTTTTTTTTTTTTTTTGGTTTTTCGAGACAGGGTTTCTCTGTGTAGCTTTGCGCCTTTCCTGGATCTCGCGCTGTAGACCAGGCTGGCCTCGAACTCACAGAGATCCGCCTGCCTCTGCCTCCCGAGTGCTGGGATTAAAGGCGTGCGCCACCACCGCCCGGCCATATGCAACTTTTTAATACAGGGAATTATAATAGAAAATTTCAAACACATGCAAAGGCATATGCTTGTAATTCTAGCATTTGGGAGATGGAGACAGAAGGATAAAGAATTCAAGATCATTTTTGGTTACTTAGTGATCTCAAGGCCAACCTAGGCTATGTGAGACCCTGTCTCAAAAAAACCAACCCTCTTCAAAAGTAAGCAAAATAATAAATCTAATACCAAACTTCAATAATTATTAAATTATGCTAAATCTGTGTCATCTGAACCTTCATCTATGTCTTTCTCCCACATTACTTTGAGGAAAATTCTAGATATATTTTATCACTAGATATTTCAGTATATGTCACTAGAAAAAACTTCTTTAAAACATAGCTACAATACTGTTTTCACATCTAAAATATTAGTAATAACTCTTTAGTATAAAATTTAATTATTAATCAGGTTTTATTATTATTTATTATATAATGTGTATATAAAATATAATAATATATAATTATTAATCAACATTTCTGTTTATGTCTTCACAGCGAACCAAGATCACAAAAGGCTAATAACATTGTTAACCAATCCTTCCTTACACTCATTGGTTCCTGTGTTTGATGTTGGTGATCCGGTCCAGGGTCTCGTGCATACCAGACAAGTACTCAGCCACCTAGGCTGTACCCTTAGCTTCCATAATACATCTCTTAAGTCTTTTAATATTAGGTTATACCTCCCTCCTTCTCCCCCCTGTAATAAATCTGCTGCAGAGACCAGGCCACTTCTAAGTTTCTAATAGTCTAAACCTTGCTGATTGACACCTTCCTTAGAAAGTTTTACATACATTTCAAATGCTTATTAAAAATCATTCTTGAGGCCGGGCAGTGGTGGCGCACGCCTTTAATCCCAGCACTCGGGAGGCAGAGGCAGGCGGATCTCTGTGAGTTCGAGGCCAGCCTGGGCTACCAAGTGAGTCCCAGGAAAGGCGCAAAGCTACACAGAGAAACCCTGTCTCGAAAAACCAAAAAAAAAAAAAAAAAAAAAAAAAAAATCATTCTTGTTTACTCGATGAAGCAGATTAGGTGATTTTCTCTTCTTTTTTGTTTTTTTTAGAGACATGGTTTCCCTGTGCAATAGTCCTGGCTCTCCTGGAACTCACTTTGTAACCAAGCTGGCCTTGAACTCACAGGGGTCTGACTGCCTCTACCTCCCAGTTGCTGGAATTGAAGGCATGTGTCACCACACCAGCTTAATTAGTTTTCAAAGGCACAGTATATCTGTGATCAACTGTATAGTTTTATGATGCACACATACAAAATAATCCAAAATTATAAAATATTCTGAGGTTTAAACTTTCAGGCAATTTAAATAGGTATTTCCAGAGTTTAATTTTACTCTGCAATACAGTGTCAATATTGGTAAAAATTCATTTCAGGACACTAAAAGGACCTACAAAATTCTCTGCTTAATATAATGCTTCCAAAATTATTTTCTAGGAATGAAAATATATCTTACCTTAGTGAATCACAAAAGATGTTATCTACATTCCACAATAAAAATCCCAATAAAAAGATAGTCAAGGATGTATAACCTAGTCCTCTAAGCCATGGATAAACCCTGTGGAGAAAAGAAAAGTAAAGCAAAAATAACAAATCTTCAAGTCACATCATGATCAGAGGTGAGAACTGGAAGTCATCATATTTAGGAGAAAGAAAAGTCCTCAAGAGAAAGCTGGGCAGTGGTGGCACATTCCTTTAATCCCAGCACTTGGGAGGCAGAGGCAATGGATCTCTGTGAGTCGTTTGAGGCCAGCCTGGTTTACAGCTAGTTCCAAGACAGCTAGGGCTGTTACACAGAGAAACGCTGCCTCAAAAAAACCAAAAAACCAACCAACCAACCAACCAACCAAACAAACAAACAAAAAACCAGTCCTCAGGAGACTAAGAGCAAACCCATTTATTAATTTAATGCCTTTGCCAGTCATGCATTACATACTTTAAAAAGATTTCTTGAGGTGGGTCTTGTTATGTTGTTACTCAGGCTGGTCTCAAATTTCTGAACTCCCACAGTTTTCTTGCTTCAACCTCCCAGGAGCTGGGACTTATAGTAGTTCACCACTATGCCTAGACATCTGCCGAACATTTAGCTATTTAAAGATACTGAGAGAGATAGCCGGGCGGTGGTGGCGCACGCCTTTAATCCCAGCACTCGGGAGGCAGAGGCAGGCGGATCTCTGTGAGTTCGAGGCCAGCCTGGACTACCAAAGTGAGTCCTAGGAAAGGCGCAAAGCTACACAGAGAAACCCTGTCTCGAAAAACCAAAAAAAAAAAAAAAAAAAGATACTGAGAGAATACACTTGCCCAACAATTTTTCAGTGGCATGTAAGAGATGGGAGAACCCATTAACATGGGTTGAATCACATTCTCTGCCAGGCACTGCACACACACACACACACACACACACACACATACACACACACACCCCTAAATCACACAATATACTAAGTTCTTAATGTGTCAGGCACAGTCACACACACACACACACACACACACACACACACCCCTAAATCACATAATATACTAAGTTCTTAATGTGTCAGGCATAGTCTCTCTCTCTCTCTCTCTCTCTCTCTCTCTCACACACACACACACACACACACACACACACACACACACACACACACACACTGCCACCTAACTAAATCACAGAATATACTAAGTTCTTAATGTGTCAGGCATATTTTAAACACTTCAGCAGGAGGCAGTTAACAAGACAAAGCCCTTCTCTCAGGGAACTTATAGTATGGTTGGGGCAGGAAGTGAAAACACTATTAGCTACAGATGTTTTGAAGAAAAGTAAAGTAATTTGGAGGAGATATGGAGGTGTCTGCTTGGGTGGGTAATACCTCGGTCAAATCTGCAAATACACCTATGAGGCAGGTACTCTTTTTATTTCACTGCTCAGGAAGTTGAAGGGTGGTGAATTGCTTAAAATGTAGTAACAGCAGACTATTCACTCTTTATAGATTTAATAAAGTAGACTTTTTTTTGAGACAGGGTCTGATGAGGTAGCCTTGGCTGGCCTCCAGCTAGGTCGGATCAGGCTGACCTTGAACTTTTAATTACCCTCCTGTCTCTGCCTCCAACGTACTAGGACTATAAGCATACACTACCATACTTGGCTTAGAACATACATATTTAAAAAGCACATGCAGGGGCCACAGAGAAGGCTCAATGTTAAAAGCACATACTGGGTTTTGTTCCCAGTACCCATGTTAGGTAGCTCACAACTGCCTGGAATTCTAACATCAGGGGTTCCAACTCCCTCTTCTAGCCTCTGAAGGTATGTCACTCCCATTCACTTTCTTGCACATACTCACATACACACAATTAAGAATAAAATACATTTCAAAAAATGTACATATGAATCCAGGCTTAATGGCTCAGATCTCTAATCTCAGACTTGGGAGGCTGAGTCAGAAAGATGCCATGGTGAGAGGCCACCCTGGGCTATGGAGAGAGAATGTGTCTCAAGAAGACAAAAACAAATGAACAGAAGGCACATCTCTTGAGTCTACCTGTGTATACCACGCAACTACCAGTGTGGTCAAAAACAACATATCCATCACCTCAGAAAGTGAGCCGGGGAGGAGGAGAGAGAGGGAGACTGAGCTGGAGACTGAAAATGGAATCATACTATGTGTTCCCCTTATTTTATGGCTTCTTTCATTTGGTATTAGATTCATCCATTCTGTCATGTATATGAATACATCATTTCTTTTGTTACTAATAGTCCATGGCATGGATACAGAACACTTTGTTTGGCTATCCAAATGTTGATAGACATTTTTGTTTCCTATTTTGACCACTACAAATAAAGCATCTATGAACATTCCTAATTAAGACTGTGTGTTGACTGTGTAAAATTAAGACTGTAAAAAGGAATGGCTTGTTTGTATGAGATGAACGCTTAGCTTTTTAAGACACTGTTCGAGTGTTATCCTTCTCCCCCTTCCCATCTCTTACCCTTCCTTTCCCTTTCTTTCTTGGTCCCGGAATGAAACTAGGAACCCTGACATGTTAGGCAAGTTTGCTAGAATCCCTCAGGCATTGGAGGTAAGCAACGGTACTAACTTAAACTTCTACCATGTATACGTGGTTCTAGTTGTTCTGAATCCAGGCACACCCAGTGTGTCAGTCCCTTTCACTTTAGTCCTCTAGAGTGTAGTGGTATCTCATATTTTTTAATGTGCATTTCCCTCAAAATTAATAAGGAGCATTGTTGTGTATACTTATCTGTCATCCATATATCTTCCTCAGTGTGGTATTTATTGCTTGCATTGTAAGAGTTCCTTATAGATTCTGAATGTAAGTTCTCTGTTGGATATATATGTTGGAGATATTTCCTCCAAGTCTGTGATTTGCCTTTTGTTTTCTGAACACAGTCTCTAGGAACCAAGTTTGTACTTTTTTTCAAGCCAAGTTCTTGCTAAGGTTGTCTAGGATGGCCTTAGCTCAGGGGCTCAAGTTAGCCTCCCACTTCGTTTCTGGCTCATGCCACTGGGTCTGGCAAAAGTTGGTTAATTTTAATTAACTTCATACTTTAATTTATTTTTTCTTTATAGTTTGTGTTCTAATAAATCTTTGCCTAAATTAAAGTTTGCTAAGACTTCTACTAGAAGCTTAAAAATTTTAGTTTTTACATTTAGAGATATGACTCACCTCTGCTGTGTTTTTAGAATGGGCTGAGAATACAGCTCAGGGGTAGAACATTCCCATAGCAGGCACAGAAGGGTGTGTGGCTGATGGCTGTCTTTAACTATAGGACTAGGCATGCTGGCTCACACCTGCAACCCCTGCACCTGGGAGGCTAAGGCAGAAGGGTCATAATTTGAGGTCAGTCTGGGCTAGACACCAAGAGAGACTAATTCAAAAAAGAATTAGTCCAAGGGGTTGAAAAGATGGTCTTTTCACTGGACGGTGGTGGTGCATGCCTTTGAGCCCAGCACTTGGGAGGCAGGGACAGGTGGATGTCTGTGAGTTCGAGGCCAGTCTGGTCTATAGAGCGAGATCCAGGCAGACTCAAAAGCTACAGAGATACCCTGTCTTGGGGGGGGGGGGAATCTTTTCTATTAAGTTACCTTCACATATTTTTATTAACGATCAGGCCAGTATGATGTGTTAGTTTAGTTTATATGTTCTATACACCACCCTTACCAGCTATTGTACAACACCAACTTGACTATAATAGTAGACTAAATCAAGCACTTTAAGTTCTCCTCTGTATCTCTCTTTTTGGTGCTGAACACAGGCCTTTGTGCATGCTAAGCACATACTCTGCCACACCCAGTCCTCTAATAATGCTCTTCTCTTTAAAAACTGTTTCATCTATTCTTGGTCTTTTGTGTCCTGTGTAAATGTCAGAATCAAGTTCTACATTTTTAAATATTTTTTTTATTATTTTAAGTTTATGGGTGTTTTTACTTAATGTATGCATGTGCACCATGTATGTGCCTGGTGCCAGCAGAGTCCAGAAAAAGACACTGGATCCCCTGGAACTGGAGTTACAGAGAGTTGTGAGCCATATATGGACAGTGGGACTTAAACCCAGGTCCTTTGGAAGAGCATCCAGTGCTCTTAACCTCTGTGTCTGGCCCTATTTGTTTGTTTTAAGACAAAGTCTCATAATGCAGTCCCAACTGGTCTGGAATTATCTATTTCCCTCCTTCCTTCCTTCCTTCTTTCCTTCTTTCCTTCCTTTTTTTTTGAGACAGGGTTTCTTTGTGTAGCCTTGACTGTCCTAGAACTAGCTCTGTAGACCAGGCTGGTCTTTCACTCACAAAGATCTGCCTGCCTCTCCCTCCTGAAGGCTGGGAGCACCTGGAATGCTCTATGTGGACCTCACTGGGCCGCTTCCCCAGTGCTGTGATTAAAGGTATTTACCACTATGTCCAGCAAATATCACATTTTTTGCCAATAGCCTGAAAAGATTTTGATTGTGATTATATTTAACCTGCAGACAAACTTGGAAAAATTGACACCTTAATGATTACTGACTTTTCGAACACATAAGGGAGTATATCTATTTATTTAGTTTAGTTTCTCAGCAAAAAGCTGTTGTTTTCAATGCACAGATCTGGCATATGTTGGAACACTGTCCAAAAATGGAGTTGTGTGAGAAGAATTCTGAGTATTTCTGAGGAAACTCCAAGAAAACAAAACAAGGGTCTTAAGACCTCAGTTTCTTCAAAAACACATTGTTCTTGGAATGTGTTTTCGTACCCCTCCCTGGTAGCGGATAGGAGTTGTTTCAGATTATTCATTACAACTGGTTATTGCTATTTGTTTACATGCCTCTATGTAACAACATGTTTTTGCCATGGGTGGCTTGTCCTTGTGATTGGACACTTTACTCTGTGACTCTTCTTAACCCTCAGAGTATAAATTGTCTGATTCTCTGAATAAAGTCAGCTATTGCATGAGACTTTAGTCTGCCTTATTTATCGGTTCCATTCTCCCAGGTCCCACCACCTCTAGTAGAATGGTAAACAGGCACACATTTGTTACTTTTACCCTAAGCATTTGATGTTGTTGTAAACTGTACATTAAAAAATTTTC